GAGAGCCTAGTTCACGGTTAGAATAGACAATGAGAGCCTAGTTCACGGTTAGAATAGACAATGAGAGCCTAGTTCACGGTTAGAATAGACAATGAGAGCCTAGTTCACGGTTAGAAAAGACCATGAGAGCCTAGTTCACGGTTAGAATACACAATGATAGCCTAGTTCACGGTTAGAGTAGACAATGATAGCCTAGTTCACTGTTAGAATAGACAATGAGAGCCTAGTTCACGGTTAGAATAGACAATGATAGCCTAGTTCACTGGTAGAGTTAGAATTAGATGGTTCCAGGTATGTGAAGAGTAGAGCTAGAATTATATGGCTCCAGGTATGTGTAGAGTAGAGCAAGAATTGTATGGTTCCAGGTGTGTGAAGAGTAGAGCTAGAATTAGATGGTTCCAGGTGTGTGTAGAATAGAGCTAGAATTAGTTGGTTCCAGGTGTGTGTAGAGTAGAGCTAGAATTATATGGTTCCAGGTATGTGTAGAGTAGAGTTAGAATTAGTTGATTCCAGGTATGTAAAGAGTAGAGCTAGAATTAGAGGATTCCAGGTGTGTGTATAGTAGAGCTAGAATTACCTAGGTACCAGGTGTGTGTAGAGTAGTGCTAGAATATACGGTTCTAGGTGTGTGTAGCGTAGAGCTAAAATTATATGGTTCCAGGTGTGTGTAGAGTAGAGCCTAGAATTATATGGTTCCAGGTATGTAAAGAGTAGAGCTAGAATTAGATGGTTCCAGGTGTGTGTAGACTAGAGCTAGAATTAGCTAGTTCCAGGTGTGTGTAGAGTAGAGCTAGAATTAGATGGTTCCGGGTGTATGTAGAGTAGAGCTAAAATTATATGGTCCCAGGTGTGTGTAGACTAGAGCTAGAATTAGCTAGTTCCAGGTGTGTGTATAGTAGAGCTAGAATTATATGGTTCCAGGTATGTGTAGAATAGAGCTAGAATTATATGGTTCCAGGTATGTGTAGAGTAGAGCTAGAATTATATGGTTCCAGGTGTGTGTAGAAAAGATTAGAATTATATGGTTCCAGGTGTGTGTATAGTAGAGCTAGAATTAGATGGTTCCAGGTGTGTGTAGAGTAGAGTTAGAATTATATGGTTCCAGATGTGTGTAGAGTAGAGCTAGAATTATCTGGTTCCAGGTGTGTATAGAGTAGAGCTAGAATTAGCTAGTTCCAGGTATGTGTAGAGTAGAGTTAGAATTATATGGTTCCAGATGTGTATAGAGCAGAGCTAGAATTATATGGTTCCAGGTATGTGTAGAGTAAAGTTAGAATTATCTGGTTCCAGGTGTGTGTAGAGCAGAGCTAGAATTATCTGGTGCCAGGTGTGTGTATAGAGTAGAGCTAGAATTAGCTAGTTCCAACTTACAGTAAATCTTCAATCTCTAGACTTTAAGTTAATTATCCTCCGCTGGATGTGCCATCTATCTCTCTATCTATACATCTATCCATCCTTCTATCCATCCTACTATCCACCTATATATCTATATATCTCTCTATACTGGAGTGAAATAAGACAATGGGTGAGGATTAGACAGGATATTAGGCCAAGTTTTCTCTCTTCTATCTATATTTAACCAGCTGAAAAACAATGTATAGAACCTTTCCTTAGAATACATAACATACAAACAAATAAATAGATAGTAAACTAGATGGATACAGGATTATCCAAAAATATTGAGACTTCAGAGACAACTAAACAGAATGTTAAGTCTCTTTTGTCATATTCATAGTTTCTTGCAACTTGTTTCTTTCTTTATAAAATCTTCTAAATACTAATAAACTTTTAAAAGACTTTTATGTGGCAGAAATCCAAATTCAAGCTTCAAGTCCCTGTAACCAAAGTGTTTCAGGTCGTCATTATAACCTCATTCCTTGTGGGTAACCCTGTAGATAGAGACAGTAGTGATTGAGTCTCAATAAACCATGAAATTTGAAATATTGAATATGCAATTCTAAAAGGGGACACATAAACTGTGGAATAGGACATCTTGACTCTAGTTGTATTTAAATAGTTTAATAGACTTAAAACACAGCAACACAGACTCATTTCACTTAATAAGTTTATTCTCAAGCTAATGTAAACATATTTGTTTATTTTCGCATTAAAAGAAATAATGCTGATAAAATAAAATGTTGTCTTCCGCTATTCTACAGTTTTATATAGTTCTCTCTAAAGATATAATAAACCATGTTAAAATGAAGGAAAATCTCTATTTTCTTTCAAATAGTTTGGCTACGGGATGTAGGACAGCATTACAGGCATATTCAATATCAAACTTTGATAGACATGTTTATTTTGGACAAGCTGTAGATGCGGGACCCCCCCCCCCTACCCCTTTAACTTTATAACTATACTGTAAAGTTTAGACTGTATAAATGTTTGAAAGAGAAGAAAATATCTTAATATGTAATTCTTCAAACTGAACAATTTTTATCAATAAGTTTAGTACAATATATCATTGATATTATCATTGATTGATATCTCAATTTATTTGAAAGAAGCAATATAATCCTTTCTAGATATTTGAAGATTACTCTTAAAGTTTGTAAAATAAAAAGTTTTACTTACAATAATTTTGTTTCAGGGCTGATTGAGTTTACAGCAACATACGCCATATAAGTGCCAAACCCTAGAGTTAACAATTATTTAGAACAGATCATTTCATAGGACAGTACATGTCTAGTTTATAATAATACCCTTGATACATTTTTGTATCAAGGATTAATAAAAAATTCCTACTTTTAGCTAAAAATTGATTATTTATAATTGTGGTTCTAAACAAATTTTGCCTTCGTTTAACCAGAGATCATTCCACCATCTCATCGTCACAAGGTTTCCAAACCATTGATGAGCTATCTCATGACATACAACCATTGATATCTGTAATCTAGAGACACAACCATAGATATATTAGTCTAGAGATACAACCATAGATATCTATCAATAGTCTAGATATACAACCATAGATACTAATAGTCTAGAGATAGAACCATAGATATCAATAGTCTAGAGATACAACCATAGATATTTTAGTCTAGAGATACAACCACAAATATCTATCAATAGTCTAGAGATACAACCATAGATATCTTTTTGAGATCTAGATATTTATTATCTCCGTATCGAGATTATATCAATTGTACAAAATTGTTCACATGTATTTAATACAACTATTTTACGATACTATCGTGTACATATATTCTTAAACTAAATAATAAAAAATCATACGGATACATTTTATCGTTTTTTCCTTTAATTAGAAATTTTGATTTTGGGATACTTGGATCCTGCAAGACATACAAATTGAGGAGTGCAACAATGAAAGTGTAGAGAATAAATTGCATATAATTAGTCGGTGACGAAGATTTTTTTAAGAGTCGTCTGCATATAATTTGAGCATTTAATGAGGAAAGTCAGTTTGAGCAAGCATTATAAAGTTTTTATGTAACAATGGTATAATGTCAATGTATGCAATATGGAAGAAACTACGATTGTGCTGACGAAGAACATTGAAAGTTCAACGTTGGTATGGCACTACATTAGTTAAACTATGTCGTCTTGATGCTAATTAGCCGACGCAATTATGGAATACGATATATTTGAGGTACATACTGGCAAGGAACATTGATGGTTCCTTCCTGCATGTTCCTTTTCTCTCTGTAGTTAATAATCTACACGGCCAACGTGACGATAGCAGGCGCCAGAACAAGAAGTGTTAAACATGAAAAAGCTTGTTGGAGAAGCATTTAGTTTCAAATGGAACAAACACATTATGCTTGAGAACAAGACTCACGTAGAACATTGGTTCTGCGCTACTATCTAGGACATTGAAAAGAGATCAGTGCTTAACCTCTTCATTTCTCTCAAATCTTCAAGGTATAGCAAGGTATGGTGCACGTTTATATTGTGCAAAGATTTAGAGATATCGATGTAGCGTAGTTATCTCCCCTTCTTGAGACATCATGATTTCTCGGCGGTGAGGTTTGACGGTTCAGTAGGCGTTACAGTTTCCACAGACTGAATCAGTAAAAAAAGATTGTTAGTTTATTGTGAGAGAAGATTCAGGGTTTGAATAAAGATTCAGATTTTAAACTGGAGTCCTCATAATTTTAGGGATGAATAATATCGATAGAGATTTAGTTATTACGACATTTTAATTATAGGGACTCGGTTCTACTGAGGGTTTTTATTTCTATATTCTTTAATTAACCTTACGGACATAAAAAATCTTTTTTTTTTAAAAACAAATTGGCATTTCTTGCTTGCAGTAGCAAAGTTTTATGTCCGAAATATTAAATTAAAGGGTAAAGGATGAAAAGAGAATCTTAAAACTTAGACAACTGACATTGCATGCTCAACGTTTAAATTTTGTTAGAAATGAATTCCAATAGCGTGTACATAAGTCTTAATATCGTGTACATAAGTTTTATAGCGTGTACATAAGTTTTAATAGCGTGTACATAAGTTTTAAACCATAGATATCAATAGTCTAGAGATACAACCATAGATATCATCAGTCTAGAGATACAACCATAAATATCATCAGTCTAGAGATACAACCATAAATGTCTATCAATAGTCTAGAGATACAACCACAAATATCTATCAATAGTCTAGAGATACAACCATAGATATCAATAGTCTAAAGATACAACCATAGACATCAATAGTCTAGAGATACAACCATAGATATCATCAGTCTAGAGATACAACCATAAATGTCTATCAATAGTCTAGAGATACAACCATAGTTATCAATAGTCTAGAGATAAAACCATAGATATCAATAGTCTAGAAATACAACCTCAGATATCAATAGTCTAGAGATACAACCGTAGATATCAATAGTCTAGAGATACAACCATAGATATCAATAGCCTAGAGATACAACCATAGATATCAATAGTCTAGAGATACAACCATAGATATCAATAGTCTAGAGATTCAACCATAGATATCAATAGCCTAGAGATACAACCATAGATATCAATAGTCTAGAGATACAACCATAGATATCAATTGCCTAGAGATACAACCGTAGATATTAAAAGTCTAGAGATACAATCATAGATATCATCAGTCTAGAGATACAACCATAAATATTAATAGTCTAGAAATACAACCGTAAATATTAGAAGTCTAGAGATACAATCATAGATGTCATCAGTCTAGAGATGCGATCATAGATATCTCTTTTTTAACTTTAACAATTTATTTTAGTTAAATACAATATCTTTAAATTTCTATATGATATCAGACGGAAACATTTTGAGACTTCTATATTTCTTGTTTTTCAATTAAATCTCTTATCTAGAGATACAACCATAGATATCTCTAATCATGAGATACAACAATAGATATCAAAAGTCTAGAGATACAACCAGAGATAGTCTAATCTAGAGATACAACCTTAGATATCAATAATAGAAGACATACAACCGTAAATATATCTAATCTAGAGATACAACCATAGATATCAATAGTCTAGAGATACAACCTTTGAAAATAGAGCCTGGAGCGAGGGGTCCTCTCATGGTTTTTGATTTGCTTCTAGGGTTTTGGAGCGGCTCCCAGGGTTATAGAGTAAAATGAAGAAATTTATCCGACCTTTCGTGAAAAGTCCTTTAAAAAGGGTACTTAAAACCCGAAAATTGATAAAATTGCTCTGCTATCCCTTTTTCAGCTGAATTGTTCGCCCATACCAATTGTATTTGCTTAAATTACGACATTTTTTTTATGTTTTTTCACTGAACTTCATAGTTTTAAATCAAGTATAATTTTCTTTGATTAAAAACATGTATTTTTCCAACCTGTAAGAATATATATAATAAATATGAACAATAGCTGGCTGAAAACCTGCATCGTCAATCCAGAACATAACATACCAGAGAAATTTGACACCTCTGCATGGAACACAAATAGCAAATAGTAATATGCGTAATATTAGGGAGAAAGAAAACCAGAAATATGTGTTAATATGCATTTTTCCCTTGTCTACAAGGAATTAGAATGCGTAGATCTGAAAGAGAGGAACAAAAATAGATGTATAATCAGATAAGAAGAAGAAACGACAGTCAGAGAAAAAAATTCTCTGCTCTTTTTAAAATTTTGTTTTAAAATTATTTATTTAAAAATAAATGTTAAAAAAGAGTTGTTAGACCAGTTCACAATATTGCCTGAAAAGATGAGTTAGACTAAATAAGCTGGAAATAACAGTTTGAATGTTACTGTGTGAATTGGTTACGCCCCCAATAAATAAAGGACCATTTGAAATTAAAACTAGTCCCTTTAATAGCAAAATTTGTCTAAATGTTGTACAGTCGTCTCTGTCTAAATAACAATGTACATGAGAGGGACCAAGTACAACTACACTTGTGCGCTATTACTTCTCAAATACTTTATTGCTATGCGCTATTACAGTGTGTACTGTGTAGTGTGTGCGCTATTACAGTGTGTACTGTGTAGTGTGTGTGCTATTACAGTGTGTACTGTGTAGTGTGTGTGCTATTACAGTATGTACTGTGTAGTGTGTGTGCTATTACAGTGTGTACTGTGTAGTGTGTGTGCTATTACAGTGTGTACTGTGTAGTGTGTGTGCTATTACAGTGTGTACTGTGTAGTGTGTGTGCTATTACAGTGTGTACTGTGTAGTGTGTGTGCCATTACAGTGTGTACTGTGTAGTGTGTGCGCTATTACAGTGTGTACTGTGTAGTGTGTGTGCTATTACAGTGTGTACTGTGTAGTGTGTGCGCTATTACAGTGTGTACTGTGTAGTGTGTGAGACTTTTTTCATTCGCTACTAAAAAAACTGGCGGATCGCCACAGGCTAAATGCAAAAATATTTCCGAAATTTGTTGTTCACAATTATACAAACAAATACATCAAAAAAGGGATAGCAAAGCCCTTTTTTTAATTTTCGGTTTCTAAGTACCCTTTTAAAAACTTTTCCCATGAGGTCGGATAAAATTCAGCATTTTACTCTGAAACCCTGGGAGCAACTCCAAAATCTTGGGAGCAACTCCAAAATCTTGGGAGCAACTCCAAAATCTTGGGAGCAACTCCAAAACCCTGGGAGCAGCCACCCATCCTTTCTGGAGCTTAAATTTTATGTTTAAACAAAATCGAAAACTTCAATGAAATGTCAAGGTCGATAAAATTACTTTATCGTCCTACAAGGCTACAATGGGAGATTTCAGATTTGAAAAATTTCCTTAAAATTAAAATAAAAATATTAACTTTATTTTCCTTATCAAAGATATCAACCATTCCAAAATTATTGTATTTTTAACTTACTTATTTAATTCAGAGCTGTCAGTTTTATCATAAAAAAGAAATTTATCTCTGTAAGAAATAATTCCCCAGTTCTCCATGGCACCATACTGAAAATTTGTAATCAAAGATAATAAAAGAATATTTTTTGTAAAGTTTTTTTTGCATGATTATTTTCCTAACCTTGAAATCTGGGATTGCAACTAAGTCCAGTTTCGCCAGGGGATACTTCAAGTCAAACAAATCCTCAAAAAATGGAATTGCCTGAAAAATATATTACTTTTTATTATCTTTAATTAGATTGTAAATTTGTCTTTTCAAATCCTTCGTTTTTAAACATTTATGAAATATATTATCGGCATGTGGGTGCTTTTCTTTTTTTAAATCACAACCAAGGATTATGAAAGAAGAATTAAAATATTAAAATAATCTGGCACAATATTCAATATTTAATGAATTTGAGTTACAGGGTGTCCCACGAAACATGACAGTTGGTGTATAGTTTTGAATGTCTAATTCCATACGATGTATTAGATATTAAAGACTTTTTGCAGTTTATTTATTTAAAAAAAACTTTACTCAAATACATTTTACTTAGAAATCAATTTTACTAAAATGTGGATGCCATAAATATTTATTTTTATTCTCTTTGGCAACAAACTGCCATTTTTCGTGGGACACCCTGTAGGTCAACAATGTCTGGTACTTTCCCAAGCCTTTTTCCCAATCAGAAACTTTCAGGGTATTTTCCTAAGTGCAAGCTTCCCGAACATACAACTTTAAAAGCAGCAACTTCCATGTATGTCCTAGCTGCAGCGCCCGGGCTCCTATACTGTTCTAACCGCAACGCTCTACCCCCTAGCCCATCCTAGCCGCAGCCCTTGGCCTCATCACAGCCTGCAGTGCCTCAGAAGGCCTAACCTAAACTTTGGGAAGATGTCGCTTGCGAAATTGCACATTTGGGAAGTTGCCACTTTGGATATTGTCACTTGCGAAGTCGCCCTTTGAAAATGCCTTCAGGAAACTATCTAACACCCATTGAACTACCGCCAGTTAAAATCTTTATCAACAGATGGTCCTAGCTGTTTATGCTAATGGGTAGTTCAACGACCTCTCCAATTCATTAAATTCGGTATCCGTAGGTCTGCACAAGCTGTAGATCAAATTAAATAAAATTTCAATTTGTTCCTGAACATTTTTTAAGATTGTTTAATACAGAGTTCACGTTTTAATAATAGCAGCATGTTTAACCTGTGTTTACCTTATTACCAATATTAGCAGCATGTTTAACCTGTGTTTACCTTATTACCAATATTAGCAACAGGTTTAAGCTGTGTTCACCTTTTTACCACTATTAGCAGCATGTTTAAGCTGTGTTTACCTTTTTACCAATATTAGCAGCATGTTTAAGCTGTGTTTACCTTTTTACCAATATTAGCAGCATGTTTAAGCTGTGTTTACCTTTTTACCAATATTAGCAGCATGTTTAAGCTGTGTTTACCTTTTTACCAATATTAGCAGCATGTTTAAGCTGTGTTTACCTTTTTACCAATATTAGCAGCATGTTTAAGCTGTGGTAGTTTATCCTCTTGAGCCCACACATTGAAAGGTAAGGGAACAAACGGGTCTGTGTAGACATGATACAATTTTACATAACGGGACTCTTTAAATATTTTGATTTAAGGGAGAGTTGCCAATAATTGAACAGATCATTCTTTTATTTTCCAAGGACTTTTGAGTTTCAGATATCTCAAAAATATGAACAAGTTTGAGATCAATTAAAGTTCTTTTTTTAGTTACATTTGATTTTGCAAAACGCCATAAATTTGTATAATATTCATACCTGACATTATATTTGCTTCTTTGCCAAAATAAAATAAGCAGTAAAAATAAGTAAAATTTAAGTTTGTTTGTATATCTTTCCTGTTTGCTGGTAAAGGCTCTTGAACTCGCAGATTATAAATGAAAGAAGATATGTTGACATCTTGACACTGGTCTCATACTCATCAACCTCAGTTCCTTAAACCAAGGACTTTTCCGGGGGAAGGACGGAGACAAACAAAATCATGACGTCATGCAACATTTTGATTGAAAAACTTTAATCATAAAACTGAAAATTTTAATATTTTCAATCAAATTTATTTTTCTAACATAAAATTTACAAAAAAAATTAAAACGTGTGCCTTATCTTACCTTCATGACGTCATTGGTTTCCAACCTGGTTTTCACATTGAATTCAGTAACTACAGTGAGAACCAGAAAACTGTAGAATATGAAGACGACTTTACCGCGAACCTTAAGTGCATTTAATGTAGTTACAAAGCAAATAGTTTTACTACGTTTAAAAGTCGTCTTCTTATTCCAAAGTTTTCTGGTTCTCTTTGTACAAGAACTCCTTTTTATCCTGTTTATTTTAAAAATCCTTGCCTAATACTAAACCAGTTTTTTTCCTTGGCATATTGGAGAGTGTGATCATATTTCCTTGTCTACCCAATATTACTTTAAATGTAGCTTTCATATCTGGTTCATCAAAACAAGGGAATGCCTGTCTTAAACATAAAAACAAATTTCAGACGTTTGAGCTTAAAGTTTACGTTCAAAATCGTACTGTTGGTGGATACGTTTTCAGATTTTTTTTTTAATTATTAAATAACGACGACAAAAAATGTATAAAAAATTCTACAGAAAACTAATTAGTTGTTTAGGAACAGGTTGAGAAAATAACAATTAATCTTACCATCGAAAATAAGTAATCTTGTTGAATTATTAGTTTCTATTTTCTCATTATTCTAGTTTCTCGTTATTCACTTAGATTTTCTGGAATTATTATTGAAAAGACGACATTTGAAGAATTTGTAGAAATCTGCGAATAAATTCATTAAAAAAAGAAAATCAATATAATGACGAAAACAAAATAATTGATTCTAGCATTGATTTATTGGCAAATTTCTTTTGAGAAATATGTTCCTAACCATCTAATTAGTTTACTGTATAATTTTTACTTTATTTTTCGTCGTCGTTATTTAATAATTTAAAAAAACCGGTTCTGAAAACGTACCCACCAAAATTCATGATTTTGAACGTTTACTATACACTCAAACTCAGTAATTATACATTATGTGTCAAATGAATCCTAAAGAATATGTTCACAAAACTGCGTACTCAGTTTAACTACCTTACATAGCCGGTCTGTCCCTTTATGAAATGTCCATGTAATTGTAATTTCAAGTGGCCTTTCATTTTGAAAGGGGCAGGCCCAATGCCCAATTTAAATGAGTATTTAACTCATGAGATAAACAATTTGAGGATATCGTCGTTTTTCTTGATTGAAATGTGGTCAATTATATCTCATGCATTCTTGATTACGGTTGCGCGATTGTGAATCGGACCTGACGCTCTAAAAATGGAGTCACTCGAAAGTACGTCATTAAATTCTAAAGATATGAATTATCTATTTATCAATTAAAACAATAAGTCAAATAAAACTATAAAAATCTGCAGATTTATAATTTTATATCCTGTTTTTTAACAAACTAACAAAAATAATAATTAAAAATGTATTTCCATTCTTTTAACTGTTAAGAAAGAGATTTTTACTTAATTATCTAAAAACAATAAATGGAATTAAAAGTTTAACGAGATCAAAGCTGAGCTGTTGTTTAAAAACAAACAAAAAAATCATTTAAAGTTGTAAATAGAGATATTTGAATTAAAAAGTCTTAATAAATCTATATATTTCAGTGAAAGCATCCTAAAAAGATTAGGTTTACATATTACATAATCAATTAAATAATTCAAGACACTCATTTTTCACATGTATGTGTTAAATGTGGTGTACTAGGTTTTTTCACTAAACATGATAACGTCGACTGAAAACTTTTTTATTAAAATAGAATTGCAGAAATCTTTCTTAACAGAATTTTTAAAAAATCCACCCCCTGGATGCCAGGTGTCACATGCCGAAAAAAGTTTACGGAGGCCGAATATATTGAAATGGAAAGGTCGCTGAACACCTACCCCCGTCTAAATCCTAAAATATCTTTATCTTTGACTTGGTGATTCAAGATTTGAACCGGCGTTAGGAATTTCAGTGACCTAGCTCAAATATATTTAATTTGGTTCTATATCACGATAATTCCATTGGAACAGATCTGGAATTATTGTCACGTAAACTTCATCATGTCCAACCTTGCTCTGTGTAACATCTACATATAGGGGGTAGATTGGTTCTTCGGTGAAAAGCTCCGCCCTTAGTTAGTTTTCAAAAGTTTTAAATGGTTAATTATTTGTAACAGCTTCAGAAATGGTTTTGTATGGCCTTTACGGATCCAGATTGTTCCGGAAAAAAATGGAATTTCTATTGAAGTTCAGCCGAATGTTTACAAAAATACCAATGAGAGATTTGATGACAAAAATAGTTTTACTTATTAGAATCGTTTTAACCCTTGAGTTCCGCTTCTTTAAAAGAGTTTTTACCTGGCGTATATAGACTGAAACTGTGTTGAACCAACTACTTGTGTCTTGTTTAATGTAAAATCAAAATATGAGCTTCTATAGAACCCAGTCATTTTATCTTGCACAGTTCTTTTACGTGAAATCATTTTTTATCAAAACATTATATATATTCATGAAAAAATAACTAAAAACCTAATTTCATAGACCTTGGATATTTCTAACAATTGGGATAAATTAATTCAAAAAAAGTGTTTAGTTTCTTTAGGTATAATACCCACGGACAGACTTTGAACTTATTGCTAACATTTTTTAACCGATGTTTCTCTAAAGAAAATTTTTTTAAAATCATATAAAATTGCTTCACAAACAACTTTGTTAGGTACTTTAAGGAGATTTTCACAGTTTTTCTTAAATTCTCTCGATCACAAGAAGCATTAAGATTAACAGCTAAAAAATATTGTATAATTCAACTTTTATCAAATAAGAAAATAAAACTTATTTATGTGTGAACACAACCCTATATCTCCTTGCCTTAGATTTTAAGGCTTTTTATTTGATAATAAAATGGTTTTTTATAAAAAGGGGTTCTTATTTGATAAAAAGGGGTTTTATTTGATAAAAAGGGGGTTTTTATTTGATAATAAAGTGTTTTTTTTATAATAAGGGGTTTTTATTTGATAAAAAGGAGATTTTATTGATAATAAGATGGTTTTATTTAATAATAAGGGGGTTTTATTTGATAATAAGGGGGTTTTATTTGATAATAAGGGGGTTTTATTTGATGATTAAGGGTTTTATTTGATAATAAAGGGGTTTTATTTGATAATAAAGGGGTTTATTTGATAATAAGGGGGTTTTATTTGATAATAAGGGGGTTTTATTTGATAATAAGGGGGTTTTATTTGATAATAAGGGGGTTTTATTTGATAATTAAGGGTTTTATTTGATAATAAAGGGGTTTTATTTGATAATAAAGGGTTTTATTTGATAATAAGGGGGTTTTATTTGATAATAAGGGTGTTATATTTGATGATAAGAGAGTTTTATTTGATAATAAGGGGGTTATGTTTGATGATAAGGGTTCTTATAAGATAATAAGGGGGTTTTATTTGATAATAAATGATCTTCCCCTAAGAAGGCGATTTCTATGCGCAAATCTTTCCCTGGAACCAGAGCTTCCTCTAGATATAGGATTAAAAACCCTCGATCCTTGTCATATGCAACACCATTAATAACTAGCTTGAATCCACCCATCTGTATATCCACATGCTTTATATCAAGAGCAGTCTCCTTGCTGTGCAGAATAATACACTGAAACAGATAATAGAGGGAGGGATGGCAAGTTTCCTAATTTGCTATTATCCGAGCCACCTGAACCTTCTCTCCCTTGAGTTAATGAGTAACGATTTTCTGTATATAGGTAATGTAAATGTTCCAATGTTAGTCATCACCTTATTATCACAGCTGTTTGGAGCATCTGCAATGCGCGCATTAATTTCTACAAGACCGTCAACTGTATAGTTCCCTTCTACTAGATAGGGTATAAGGGTGATTATATAGGAGTCAGGTAGAACATGTCGTGGCAGACGAACATCTTTCACGAACCCCATCTCATTATCAAGGAGGTTGATGAACCCGACCTGGGCGGGGGTACCCAGGCTTAGTATCTTACACTCCCATTGTCCTAAATAAGAATGTTATAAAATATTAGTGTTTTCATATCAATGCAATTCATTCTTGTTCCAGAACCGGGCCTATACTTTTATCATAATCATCTGGCCGAAATGTCCCGACCCAATTAGTTATGTACGGGAATGTACACATGTAAGGTGTACAGGAATGTACGGTAACTGTTTAAAGCATACTCTTTAACTGAATTGTAGACAAAAAAAGAGAAATGTTATCTAAAAAATCATTTTATTTTAGTGTTCCAAAACTTATTTTTAGAAGATTATTGTCATTGGACGTCTAAATTAATGCTGCATTCGTCTATAATTAGCATACAGAATTTTTGCCAGAAGGGGAAATAGGTGTGGGTCAAAGGGCATGCCGAAAATAACATTCTGTGATGTCATTTGTGGGTCAGAGGTAAAACGGGTGTGGGTTGCATTACCCCATCATCAGACTTGATGAGGCTCCATCAAAACCATAGAGAATAGAATATATAGAGAAGAATTAAAAGAATCTCTCGGTATGAATTTTTTCAGTCCCTTTAAGCCTGAAAGGGAGTTCAAACTGTTCAAATCATGTAAATGTTTACAAATTATATGCAGTAGAGTACATTAATACAGTATGTTCCCTAGACTATCCATTTTAATTTCGAATTTTTTAAACTGTTAAATAAACTTTATAAAGAAGTAGGTGAATAAAAACATCATTTGATTTATAGTTATAACGGAAAATCTTCGTTTGTAAAGTGAAAGGCATAGAGTCTATATGAAATGATAATTGGTCAAATAATTTTAGATTTTCTATAAAATGATATTCCAGGGCCAAATAGGTTTTACACTTTTTTCCAGTAAATTCCTCTCTATATATTCTATTCTCTATGCTCAAAACCTGAATATTTTTAAAAATACTAACTGTACGGATATACTCTGACAGAAGATATTAACAAAAGCAATTTTACCTATCCAATTATCAAAATGTGTCTAAATATGCCAGTGTGCTATATGTTTTTGTTTAAGGATAACATTTAAATTTTAAAAAAATCATATTAATGATAATAAATACCTAAATCATTAACCTTTACTGAATGTATTTTAATAGCACACATTTGAAATTGTTTATTTGAATATGCTTCATATCTCTCTGATGTGGCGAAGCTGCTGTCCCTGACTTTTCCTAAATTAAAAAATGTTTTATTTATTTCTTACAGGGAATTGTCCCGAAATTAAAAGTCTACCTGTTTTCAGATCCAGGTTTAAGGTTTTATTTCCAGGTGCAACCATGACACAGGACCTTTTTTATTTATATTGTTGGAGATGTCAGAAAGTGATTTTTTGTGCTGTAAATAGTTTGTGGGGTAATATATACCCCGTTCTCCAACAAAGCCCGCCAAAATGAGGCCCAAGCTTGGTTGGAAATTCAGATCGGGAATCCACCTGGAAATCCTGAGACTAAGGTTCAAGGAACTGCACTGGATGGTCAGGGAGAGGAGATAGACAAGTTAGTCGTGGGCGAACAGGCTTGAGAGTAGGTGGAGCTGACCGTAGTGACCAAAATGTGCTGCAGCTGTATATAGATTTGACAAATCAAAGGAGTTTCATATTTTATTATTTCATAATGTAATCTTGTATCGTGTTTTCGCGTTATATTTATCGAGTTCGTGAATCCTGCATTATGCATGTTAGTAAATACTGTTTTTTCGGTATATTTAACAATATTTCATATTAACGACACAGATTAAAAAATATAATAAGATATGTCATTAAGTCCTTGTTATTTTAGGTTTATTGTTACTTTATAACCCTTGTTCAGTTCCACCTAGGGTTTCCAATAGAAATATTTTGCACGAAAATCTATTTTATTACTTTTCAGGTATAATTTTGCATTGATGCGCAAAAGCTATTTCACGCAAATTATGAAGAAAATCTTTGTTTTTGCGCATTTCTTTATTCCTGCTATTTTGTTATTTTGAGCTATTTCGTTATTTCGAGCTATTTCGTTAAGTTCCAAGAAACAATTCCAGGAAATGAATGAGCCTAAAATTAAACCAATCAGAGCCCCACTATACTTCGGCCCGCTCTTACAGGAACCTTTGGCACTGGCCTCACTTCTATGGTTTTAAGTAATTCAGCATTAAATTTTATGGCATTCTATGTATGCATATCTATATTGATTAATATACATAGATGAACATTAAGTAATTCAGCATTAAATTTTATGGCATTCTATGTATGCATATCTATATTGATTAATATACATAGATGAACATTAAGTAATTCAGCATTAAATTTTATGGCATTCTATGTATGCATATCTATATTGATTAATATACATAGATGAACAACTAGTGATGGAACCTTTTTTATCGTTTTTTAAAAACATATTTATCATAACAAATTTTCATATAAGAAAGTAACCAAAATGTTTACCGTTTCAAACTATAGAAAACGATAATAATGAAGTTATTGTTCATGAATAAATACTGCAGATATGGAAGTTCTTTTTTACTGAAACAAATTCACATCATACTGTCCAAATTTTTAAATTTTTTTTAATTATTTGAGCAATATGTCATAAGACAAATATTACTTTTTTAGTATCATGCGCAAAATCATGTAAAAATTATTACTTTTATTATGTATTCATCAGCAATTTCGTGGCAAAATAATATTTATTTCAAATGAATGCGCATTTTCGTGCAAACCTGATTTCGAATTGATACGAAAATGATGGAAAATTTCATGAAAAAGGGTCATTTCATGCAAAAACGCATCGAAACTGTTGCGCAAAAATCTACTATTTCGTGGAAACCTTAGCTTCCACCCCCACCTTCTGTCAACATGTCTTATACTGGCTGCAGTTCAACCCATCAACTGATTCTACAGCTGAATATACCTTTAGTTACCATTTAGCTTAGACAAAGGGTGCTGTCACGCTGGGCTCCATGTGGAGTTAAAGCTGTGGAACAGGGGTAAGGAGTTCTCGCTTACATATAATCCTGTATCCGAATGTGGAGTTAAAGCTGTGGAACAGGGGTAAGGAGTTCTCGCTTACATATAATCCTGTATCCGAATGTGGAGTTAAAGCTGTGGAACAGGGGTAAGGAGTTTTCGCTTACATATAATCCTGTATCCGAATGTGGAGTTAAAGCTGTGGAACAGGGGTAAGGAGTTCTCGCTTACATATATCCTGTATCCGAATGTGGAGTTAAAGCTGTGGAACAGGGATAAGGAGTTCTCGCTTACATATAATCCTGTATCCGAATGGAACCAGAAGAACCAAAGATAGACAACACAAACGAGAAACCTGAGAAGAAGGAGAAAAAAAACTCCTTGCTGCGGGTTTCCTAAAATTATGTTTATTGTAGTGACAAAAACTGTTTACTATGCCAGAAAAAGACCAGACTAAAAGTAGGAGACTTGTATGCCTGTTTTCCACCATGTGAAAGGCTTCATGGCCATTCAAGAACAAACCTCTGTGTTTCTAGACAAGAGATTTTAGAAAAAGAAAAAGAAAGTAAGATATCCTTTTAAACCTTAAAATTATATATTTATAATGTTCTATCTTCTACATTTTATTTAATAAACATTTAATTAAAACTAAAACCTAAAAAATAAACCTTAATTTGTAAAATATCTTATTGAAGGTATTTTGAAGAAGGTGCTTTTAGAATGTTTAGAAACATTGTTAAAACATTAATAATATGACCAAAACATTTATTCTAACAGTCTTACTTATAGTTTTCAAAGATGTTCTTGTACCAGATGATCAATTGCAAAAACCTTTTTGAATTTTTTATCTATCTAACTGTTTAAACAGATAAAAGAAACAATGAATTAACAAAACTATGAATATTGGATATGGAATTCAATCATGGATATCTAATTCTTTTTATATAGTGTGAACCCAACCAGGATTCATCCCAATGTACATAATCTCATATAAGTTTAAATTGCTCCCAGTCAGAGAAATGATGCACACAATAAATGCAGTCTAAGAATAAAGCCAAACAAAAAGGGTATTGAACTTTGGGTATGTCTGCAGCCTTATATACATAACGGTGTAGTGGGACAAGGGTATTGCACCTTTTATCTAACTAGAGATGCATCCCGCCTCATGCGGGGAGCAAGGATCGATGCTGGAGAAAGGAGTAACGGCATTTATCTTGCCGGCAGAGAAAGTAGATCGTCGGCGATCTTAGCCCGGAGTTAGTTAGTTAGCACGAAGCATCCAATCAGAAGAGTCGAATGAAAATATATTTGCCAATGGCGAATATCATGTGTATTTAAATCAACTCTAGTTGGTCCAACAATAATTGTTTGTATCGTTATAATGTAAATATATTGTGTGTGCAACCATGCTTTGTTATTTCACTCAATCTTGGCTTTTTAATACTGAATTTTTTCAAGTCTATAATATATATGAATTCCTTGAGAAAATGGATGATGAGGTCATACACCAGATTGTTGCATTTTTCCCAATCTCTGCTGGATAAGTTCGGTCCATACTAGCAAATATTTTAATACGGTGGTCGCCATAAATAATTAGAGAAATACGACGGACTAAAGCTAATTAAAAATTGCCAGGGGTTAAAGACTTTGTTTATTATTAGAGATTTAATGTTCTACTTAGAAAAAAAATATGTTTCATATTTTTGAATAAATTAGTAAAAAATAATTTAAACCAATATTTTCAAAACAATAGTTAAATGATTGTTATTTGATCCTTTTATAACAAAACTAACTTCAAGCAATGACAATGTTATTTATCGAATATTCTCTTCTGCAGATCAGGGTGTAAACAAGATTTTTTATTTGGGTTGGGGGAGCACTGACCATGTGTTCTTTTAAATACTTGATATTTGTTGTGTTATTTAATTAATTTTAAAATAAAAAATATTTGAATGTAATAAAGGTTTGTTTAGACTTACCTGAATTGTTGACCTGAAGCCAACAGAAAAACTTGTAACAGTAATATGCCTTTAGATTTTTTTGGTAAATATATTAGGATAGAAAAAAAGGTCGGGGGGAGGATGGCTTTATTTTCTAAAAATGCAATCACAATTCAAAATTTAATAATGCACTTCAATGATTTTTTATTTTATATTTTTATTTTTATTTTTATTTACATATATTAGTCCAAAAAACCTATGATAGGATGAAATCCAAAGTTGAAATGCATCTTCCACCAGAGTCTGGAACTAAAGAGACAATATTTGAAACCAGGTTTGGAGAAGATTAAAACTTACAAACACTGTAGAGCTCTAACTTTTCGTAATTGAGGACAATATTGCAAATAATCTTTAATGGTTTATTTCTTTTAGTTTCCAAAAATCAAAAATTTATGGAAGAGAGGTCAAACATTATTTTTAATCTGTTCAGATCGCGATAAGTCGGTTTTACTTGAATCATTTTAATTCATTTCGCCGGAACCAACAAACTCATCTTAACTGATCTCTCCCAGGACGAATGTACAAACTGAATTCCCAAACTGAGTTTTCTGATTTCTGAACTTGTTTTAAGTTTCTACTCCTGGCAAACGTCCTTTATCCTTTCACTGATGAATACCAACTACAAGGAATATTAAACAATGTTAGAATATTTTATGTTTTTTACTGCTTTATGTAAAAACAATTAGGACTAGACTCAGTGAAAGGAGATAAAGTAAATAAGTTAGTAATCAAACATTTTATTCATCCATTATTATTAAGAAGAAAATTATTTCATTTCAGAACTTATGAACTCTAAACTAAATGGAGACAAAGAAATACTTTTGTGCAAATCGTTAGAAAATTTTCAGAAGTGATTAGTTGTTTCTAGACACTGACACATTTTTGTTTTTATAATATAACTATCTTGAAAACCCAGCGCTGCAAAGGTTACTAAAAGTTCCTCCCGCCGTTTACCCGCAATTGAACGATTTTACCGGGAAACTAAAAATTTTCGCTGTTAAAGTCCACCCACTCAACTTAGAATCTCAAAATCAAGCAATGGACATTCCGTGGGTCTACCGAGTTCCCCAATCAAAATTTAAGGCAAATCAATCCAGGGATTCCTCAGTTATGATCGGAAAAACAAACAAACAGACAGACCAACAAACAGAGATGACAACTTTGTATAAAAAGATAAGAAAATTCGAATAGAACATTTTACAACAAATTTAATTTTTACAAAGACAGCAGTTCCAGGGCGTTTGAAACAATGTATCATAAAACTGTGGTATAGAAAACGATTTTTCAGCAACCTTATGAGTATTTCGGGTTGTTATAAAGCAAATATTTTACCAGTTATAGTTTGAAAACCAACGAGCTAAGTGAAATGGCCCTGAAAACTGCACAATTCATGTTATTGTTTAGTGGGCCTAACATTCGTCTTGATATTCCACAGTGAAATGGGTCCCATAGTAGGGTTCATTTATTTCCGAAAAAAATTAACATCTGTAGTCTCTATTTTTGAAGCGGCCAAACTCTGTTACTCGCGAATGCCCCAATGAATTATAAGAAGAGAGAGATTAATATATATTTTAGGGTTAGGTTAGTTTTAGACACTTTCTGGGCTTCGTTCTCGGCTATGACAGACTAGGGGGCCGAGCGCCGCGACTATGGCTCTCTCTGTCCTTTAATTCATTGCGGCATTCGCGAGTAACACAGATTGGCCGCTGCCTTTTTTTTGTGTGGTCTCACCCTCACCAAACCCAAATCAAAAATACAAAAATATCTGTTTAAAAAATGCCGCAATATACTTAAATAAGCCGACTTCTTATTGCCTGCTTATCCTGTTTTGTGGAAAACGAAGAGAAAATTAATTAGAATATTGTAAAAAAAAATCAAATCTGAAATACGTATTGATATTTTTAGTTATTATGTAATATAATATTTTATATCCTATCTAATACTAAAAAAGTAAATATGCCGACATCCTACCTTCATAATTAAATGTTTAGATTCAAAGCAAAACATTATGATATTGTTCTGAAAAATGAATTTGATATATTTAGATATCAAAATGCAATCAAAGAATTTAATGGAAAATATTTACGTTAGCTGGTTTTATTATCAAAGAAATACTTTCAGAAAAAAAGATACAATTTCATTTTTTCTCTCGTATGGCCCAGAAATTGAATTAGGTATAATTATCCACCAAACATGATTTTTTTTAAATTAAATGAACTTTTAAGGCGACTAGTGGTGGCCTTTTTCTAGCAATACTTGTTGCTTATTGATACAGAAGAGTACGATAAAAATGCCGATTTGACAAGCAGTTCATAAAAACCAAAATTACTATTAGAAGAGCCTAGTAATTTTTTTCTAAGTTATTGAATATAATCAAAAAATTTTGAAAGTCAGCTTTAAGAATGGATAAACCTTGAATTTTTAAAAGACGAATTTGCGCTCTTACTCAGCAATTCTCAGTATGTTTTAAATGCCCTACTCAATTAGGGTTTCTCAAACCTGTATCAATCCAGGTATAACTCAATGTCACTTTACTGTCAATGTTTAATAGACGTAATTAAAAGTTTTGCGTCGTTTTATACAAATGTAGTTAAGCTAATCAAAATATGGGTTCGATGTAGTTATCTATAGACGTATTTAGGTTAGGTTAATCGCAATACTAGATTTACGTAGTTACTGATAAGCACATTTAGATTTACGGACAATGTACAACGTAATTTATCTTGGTTACTATGAGATCTGCCACTGTATTTATAACAAGTATTTTATAAAATATATAATTGATAAACTCTCTGATCTGATGTAATGTCAGAACGGAGAAAATTATGTTCATTAAAATCTCCTTAAAAAATTTGATATACAATGTATACCATACACTTAACTAAATATAAATTTATTTTGATGATCTCTTTGTTGATATTCACCATGTTTAGCTTCTCAGTGTTATTCTGGACCCTTAACCAGAATAGGTACGCATTATAATCATCCAAAAATGAGTTGTCCTTGAAAAGTTGGACTGCCAACCCCCCCCCCCCCCCAACCTATAATAGGTAAAAGCAGCCCAATTGAGAAAGGGTTAATTTCATCAGTCGTAGTCGTATCTATCAATACAATGAAGACGACTTTCTATTTCAATTTTGATTTCTATCAATCTTTAAAACTGCAAAAACATGTAATAAATGCTTTACTCCAATATTTCTTTAAGTGTGTATCATTCCAGATACAACTCTCTCAAACTCTTTATTCTCTATCGAGAATTAATACTTCTGACCGTAGTAAAACAGAGTTCCAACTAACTATATTTTAGGTTTGATAATACAGGTAAAAATGGGATTAACTGATAGGTCTGTTCAGAGATAAAAGAACATAGTATTATATACAAGATATATGAATTAGGGTTATTATTATATTTATTACAAACAAGTAAACAAAGAGAAATAAACAGCTTCTCTATTGCGTGCAAGAGTTCCAAGCATTATTTATGAAAAAAGTCGTCTTCATTGTATTGATATAATCGCCGACCACTGTACAAAAAGCCTTATATTAAAGCTTGCCAGAGACAGTTCCAGTTACCACTAGAAAAGAATTGACAAGAATTGACGTTATATATTGGGACACCACGTCAAATTAAAGTAAATTTTATGTGTGTAATGAAATCTTACATTTTTCGCTGAAATCTCTGTCAAAAATGTTACGATAATTTCGCGTTTTTTGGGTCTTCCAAAATTCGTTGGAACTCATATTTTGAGCCATTTTGTGGGGTTTAAAAGCTTTCAACTCAAACTAGATATAAGGAGAAGGTCAAATTGTTGCTCAATACTGGTGACTTTGTGACATCCTAGAAGCAAATTACTCCAGTTTCATGCAAGAAATTCAAAACATTTTTGTTCTTTTGCTCTTCAATCAGAGGAGTTATGAACTTATGATGGAAAACATGGAAGATTTTAATCTGATATGCTATTTTCTTTAGTTATTATTGGAAAAAATTAGGATAAATCACGTAATGATAAAACAAAATTTGGTTTTATAAGACAGGAATAAATTGATTTAAATGGAATGTTTATCAGGTTGTTGCTGGGGTGGAGGGGGGGGTAATTAGTAATATAAAAAGGGACTGATATTCGGGTCCCAATCGTTGTCCTAAAACCACGCTTTACGATCACCTCACAGATTTTAGTGCCTCACATCTGTTAACAGGAATCCCCCTTATAAATATTTTAAACGGTATCCCTCCAAAGTAACAGTTAAAGAAGAGAAAAGAGAATCTCCTCAAGTGTACACTGCTAACCCCGCACTCCTGTATGCCGCGTCCATTAGCGCCTGATTCAATCAGGGTTCAGTCAAGTGTTTACTGTATATTCTGAACCAATAGAAATAGAATGGCGGTAACATCTATCTTTCTATCTATCTCATCCAATCAAAGTTATGAATCCTTCAATCGGCGCTCAACTTAATGGAAACCTAATATAAAGAAACTTTCTATTTATCAAAGAACACTACAGAGCCCTGAAGAAATTTTCCGTTTCAACACAAAGTGAGCTTAACGCCCGACTCCCTGCAGGCTTAAAACCTTCTTTAAAAAATATAAACATTTAAAATATTAAATCTTAATTAACTCATAAAAATCTATTCCTTAGTTTTGAGGAATATTTGTATATTTTCACGGATAATGTTTTTAAACACCCTTCTGTGGAAAAGTTTGTTTAGTGACCGTTATCTAGAGTTTAGTTCAGTTCCCCTCCTTCCCCCTTGGTAGAAGGAGATATTATGGAGTCATTCAACAACTTTAGACTCTTTTTCCTTTTAGGTATAATTTTAAGCAAAAAATCATAAAGGAATTGAGTCTTTGCCACAAACTCTGATTTTCTAATTCATATATGTGTGCAACCTAATGTCTTAGACCTTAGATATTTCAAATTATGATTTCTGTTCGAACAAATAATCTAAGTTTAAAATATCAAAGGTGTAAGTCAACAGGTTTTAAAGATTAGAAAATTAAAGTTTTTGGCAAATATTCAATTCCTTTTTACTGAATTTTCTGGTTAAGTTAAGAATTTAGTAGAAACATTATTTCATTGTAGAAGTAAAACATTGGAAAAAAGAAAAAAGTCCTATAACTCTGCAACCTGATGTCAAATTATGAGCTCTACAAGATCAAATGGTTAACGTTTGAAATAACAAAGGTTTGGACAAAGAAGTTTCAAAGATATAGAGATTAGAAAATCAGAGTTCGTTGCATTTGTTAAAAATTAAGTTGTTAGATTTGTACACTGTTAAAAATACAGTTTTCAGTTTTATTTTACTTAGTATGAAAGCTAATTTTCTTTGGTACACTGTTAAAACATTGGTATATCTAGAGTGCAATTTTAAAATAAAGGTATTTAAATTTCCCCTGGGAAATATATAGCAATGTTGAGTGCACAGTGAAAAACGTGTTATTTTAGTGCACTGAGTCCGAAATCAATGAATTTGAGTCGAGTCTAAAATCCGCCAAAAACCGGTTTTCAATTGAACGCCGGCTTAAATCTTGAAACATTGGATACAATTTTAAGCGGAACCAACCATATTTGAGTCACCGTCTCAAATTAAAGCCGCGGCTCAAATTCTTTAAATTCGGCCTCTGGTTAATCAAAATTTAAAATACATTTAGGCTTGTCTGTCTGTGCCAAATAAACGTAAAATCGGCTAAACCGATCAAGTCCAATTTATTTGGCCACTCATCACATGACATGGAAAGGTTTATGAACACTCAAAGTTAAAAAAAAATTGTGTTCGGCCTAGAAGCCTATAAGGTATTTGATGATGAATAATTACTAAAATATAATTAAAGGATGCCTACTTCTCCCTGGTATTTCCTCTGCTGGTATAGAAGATATGGGTTTCAGGTAGAACTAATAATTTGGAAAAAAAACGCGTTTTAAAACATTAGAAGTTTTTTTAGCATCTCTGTACACTTTTTAATATCTTAAAAATTCTAGATTTCAAATGTACATGCCCATATATTGTCCATTGTCCAGGGCTACAAAAAAGTCACACTTTTTCGTAATATGTTGGGGTCAGCAAAGTAAGTACATATCTAAAACTATCATGACCTATGATCAAACATTGCCTGACGTATCATTCTTTAAACATTATGTAAATTCATTATCTCAGGAGGACTAGACAAATATAAGATTTTTTTCTTCAGCTAAACAAATATATATTGGATGAGATTAAAAAACATGTGAAAAATCTCAAAATTATTAAAGTTGTTGGGAAGAATTAATAATCATGAAATTTTTGGGAAAAAACATTTAATTATGAAATTGTTGGGAAAAATCTCAAAATTATAACATTTTTTGAGAAAAAGTAAGAAATATGAAATTGTTTGGATTAATCTAACGAATTAAAATTATTGGGGAAAATCGAAAATTATGAAATCGTTGGGAAAAATCTTATAATTATGAAATCGTTGGGAAAAGTCTCATAATTATGAAATTCTTGGAAAATCTTATAAATAAGAAATTGTTGGTAAAAATCTATTTATTTTGAAATTGTTGGGAAAAATCTTATAATTATGAAATTGCTGGGAAAAATGATAAATATTTTGAAATTTTGATTTTGTGGCGAAGACTCAATTTCATTCGAACCTTGGATCGAACCTCTTCAGTTGAGATTGAATATTTTATCTAGTTTTTAATGATTTTGTTTAGTTTGGATCGAACCTATTCAGCTGAGATTGGATATATATCATCTAGTGTTTAATGATTTCTTTAGTTTGGATCGAACCTATCCAGCTGAGATTGGATATATATCATCTAGTGTTTAATGATTTGTTTAGTTTGGATCGAACCTATCCAGCTGAGATTGGATATATATCATCTAGTGTTTAATGATTTAGTACGTTTAGTTTGGATCGAAGCTAACCAGCTGAGATTGGATATACATATCAGCTAGTTTTTAATGGTTTGTATAATTTGGATCGAACCTATCCAGCTGAGATTGGATATATATGATCTAGTTTTTAATGATTTTGTTTAGTTTGGATCGAACCTATCCAGCTGAGATTGGAGACATGAACGCTACAGTTTGGTGCAGAGCTTCACAACCCATCCAGTCAAGGAACAATCAATATTATTTATTTTTACATATTTTTCAGGAACTTTTATCCATTCCATTTTTTTAATTGACCCGAAGTTTTTTACAAATGCATTCTTTTATTTTTAAATTCCTATGATTACATTCCATCTAAATAAGTTGCATTTTTTTTCTTTTTGCAACTAGAAATTTACAACAAATCTTTTATTAAACCTACTTTTGTGTTTTTACAATGATTAACTATTTAAAAATGAGAAGTTTCAAGTTTTTGTTCTGTTCGCATAGTTTGCAAATTTTGTTGACATGTTTAAACAGTTTTTGATTGTTATTATTTTGTTAAAGCTTGGCACGATGTCGTAAACTTTTATCTGAATCATTTATTTAACACTTTTTATAAAGTTTTGTCATTGTGATTGCTAGGTGTCAGTGTCACAGCGTGACACCAGTAGGATATAAAATATATTATGCTAGGCTTAAAGGGTCCCTCTTTCTTCTAATAATTTTGGCTCTTTAATGTTACTTTAATTTTCATTTTTTTTCGAGCACACTTTGAAATGCTAACTTTGTGGATTTTTCAGTTTTCATTTCATTGCTGGATTTATAAAATTTCATTTTATTTGTAAATAAATCTGACAGATCATTTCATTGCCAGGCAAACATTCTAATGAAAGCTATTATTTCAAAAAAATATATTTTGAATATAAATAAATATTGGTTTGGAGTTTAGAATGTGCACAATGAGGGTTCCTGGAGACTTCATTATTACCTTGGATTTAGAATCAGGTATCATATTTAAAAAATTGTATAATAAAAATTATTAAACCTTTATCTGATAAAAAATCTAAGAGATATCGTCGTTGTTCTAGCCTGGAACGCGATTACTACTTTATAACATGACTTATGTTGTAGGAGCTGTTAGCACTGGAAGTACAGCATTGGAAGGATATACAGCGTTCACTGATCAGGAGAACAGGAAGTGTGGAATCCGGATACAGTCAGTAGTGCTAGAGGATCTAGGTAGGATACAGGATACAGGCAGTAGTGCTAGAGGATCTAGATAGAATACAGGATACAGGCCGTAGTGCTAGAGGATCTAGGTAGGATACAGGATACAGGCAGTAGTGCTAGAGGATCTAGATAGGATACAGGATACAGGCAGTAGTTCTAGAGGATCTAGGTAGGATACAGGATACAGTCAGTAGTTCTAGAGGATCTAGGTAGGATACAGGATACAGTCAGTAGTTCTAGAGGATCTAGGTAGGATACAGGATACAGGATACAGTCAGTAGTTCTAGAGTATCTAGGTAGGATACAGGATACGGGCAGTAGTGCTAGAGGATCTAGGTAGGATACAGGATACTGGATACAGGCGCAGTGCTAGAGGATCTATGTAGGATACAGGATACAGGCAGTAGTTCTAGAGGATTTAGGTAGGATACAGGATACAGGCAGTAGTTCTAGAGGATCTAGGTAGGATACAGGATACAGTCAGTAGTTCTAGAGGATCTAGGTAGGATACAGGATACAGTCAGTAGTTCTAGAGGATCTAGGTAGGATACAGGATACAGTCAGTAGTTCTAAAGGATCTAGGTAGGATACAGGATACAGTCAGTAGTGCTAGAGGATCTAGGTAGGATACGGGATACAGCCAGTAGTACTAGAGGATCTAGGTAGGATACAGGATACAGGCAGTAGTGCTAGAGGATCTAGGTAGGATGCAGGATACAGGATCCAGGCAGTAATACTAGAGGATACAGGATGTATGGAAAGAAAGAATTCAGGATAAAACCCTTGATATTTCAAACTTTGGCGGTATGACTTACAATATTTTAAATCTAAATGAAAAAGTTTCATAAAGGCAACAAATTGGCAATATATAAGGATTATAAAGGCAGCAAATTGGCAATATATATCAGGATTATAAAGGCAGCAAATTGGCAATATATATCAGGATTATGAATTTGAGCATGAAAAGGAGTTATCAGTTCTTTCATTTGTTTTATATTAAGGTCAATGGGAGTGTATGATAGAGAATGCTGAAGCTCCGAACCAAATTGGATTTGTCAACTTGTTAAACAATGAGATGGGGTTTGTGAAGGATGTACGACTACCCCGACATGTTCTACCTGTCTCCTACAACCTATCCCTGATACCCTTCATCATAGAGAACAACTACACCATCGACGGGAACATCAGGATCGAGAGCAACATCGTAGAGGCAGAAAACAATTGCGATGACAAGGTATTTTTAAAGTGACATCTACCATTCACAACGGTACCATCTTAACTTTGTCTTTACATGGATAAATGAGACAAACTCTTTATTTTCATTGCGGTTTTTCTCTTTACAAGTAATTTGCGTATGTAGGAAAGGAATAAAATCTCTGTCACAATCTCAAATTTTCTAATGTAAAAATATTTTTAGCTTAAATTATTTGATTAACTAACTTCATATTAGTTTCAAAGATATAGGGATTAGAAAATCAGAGTTTGAGGCAAAATTCCTTAAAGACTTCTTTTCAAAACGGAAATCTGAAGATATTTTCATATTTTGCCATTCATGAAATAATGTTTGCAATCTCTTTATATATTTTGGCATTCATGAAATAATGTATGCCATCTCTTTATATATTTTGCCTTTCATGAAATAATGTATGCAATCTCTTTATATATTTTGCCATTCATAAAAGAATGTTTGTAATCTCTTTATATATTTTGTTTAGTGTATTGTTATGCACACCCGGGATACATATATAGACGAGGAGAGTGTTCTAGTGAGTATGGACGGGTTTAAACTAACCGTCTCCAGTGTTGGATACGACAAGGAGAGAGACTATCTTATCCTGTACCTGGAGGAACCACTCACTGCAAACCTGCCGTTAACAATATCATTCCATTTTATCAGGAACACTTTTTGAATAATTCATCTTTACAATCAAAACGCTAGAATAATTGAGATCTAAAGAAAAATTACTCGTCCCTTTTTTCAGAACCCTTCTATTTTTCGACCTAATGTCGTAGACCTTCAATATTTCAAATTTTGACTATTTGATCCAGCAGTATTGATCGTCTGAAATTTCAAAGGTCTATGACATCGGATTGCAAAAAAAGGATTCGAAAACTAGATTTTGGGGCGAGTAATTTCTCAAAATATTATTTTAGATTTTTTTCTTATAATATTTCTATAGGAATTGAGTCTTTGTAACAAACTCTGATTTTCTAATACCTATATTTTTTCCACCTGATGGTCTAAACCTTTGATATTTCAAACTTAGATTTTTCATCTAACTAAATTCATAGTTTGAAATATCTAAGGTCTACGGCACTGGATTACAAAGAAATAGAGATCAGAAAATCATAGTTTGTGACAAAGACTCAATTCCTTTCAATCCTTGATCGAGCAATTAAATTTTTTTAATTTGGCCATTTTTTTCTTTTGGAAGTTTCGGCAAATGGGTTTTAAAGAGATTCCAATCGGTATAAAGAAGATACAAATCTCTTTTAACAGATGTGTTCACTTTTTATTTCAGTGCATGGGGTTCCTTGCTTTCTTAGGACAGTCAGAAAATATACATTACTTTTATTTTAATCTTAAAATTCAAAGAGGTTGTATTTAAAGTCAGCTGCAAGACAACCTGGCAGGATTCTACAGAAGTTCATATTATGATAATCTCGCGAATGTAACGAAGACGATCGCAACTACACAATTCGAATCTACTGATGCCAGGTATTGGAAAATTTCGAGTATCAAAACGTCAAATAAGTCACATTGCAAAAAATGTGATTAACATACATTTAGAGATAATGATATAGTAGATAATGATAGATAATAGATAATCGATATTAGATAATGGATAATAGATAATAGATGATAAATAATAGATAATCGATATTAGATAATGGATAATAGATAATAGATAATAAATAATAGATAATCGATATTAAATAATAGATAGATAATAAATAATAGATAATAGATATTAAAAGATAAAAGACAATGGATTTTGAATAAAAGATAAAAGACATTGGATATTTGATAAAAGATAAAAGACAATGAATATTTGATAAAAGATAAAAGACAATAGATATTTGATAAAAGATAAAAGACAATGGATATTTGATAAAAGATAAAAGACAATGGATATTTGATAAAAGAAAAAAGACAATGGATATTTGATAAAAGATAAAAGACAATGGATATTTGATAAAAGATAAAAGACAATGGATATGTAATAAAAGATAGAAGACAATGAATATTCGATAAAAGATAAAAGACAATAGATATTTGATAAAAGATAATATACAATATGAATATTTGATAAAAGATAAAATACAATGGATATTTGGTAAAAGATAAAAGACAATGGATATTGGATAAAAGATAAGAGACAATGGATATTGGATAGAAGATAAAAGACAATGGATATTGGATAAAAGATATACTAACAAATGAAAAAATTAACATAGATCGGACTTCTGCTAAAAGTATCATCAATTTTCAAGACTTGCTCTACTCTCGCATAAGCCTTTAATTTCCCCTCACTAACTATCTTATTCTAATTTGTACTTTAGAACTATAAAGCACTGAAGCTTGCAATCTTTTAATCTTATACATTTTGTTACTGTACTAGGCGAGCTTTCCCTTGTTTCGATGAACCTGATATGAAAGCAAACTTTACGATTGGGTTAGGACGGAAGAAGAATATGATATCTCTCTCCAACATGCCTAAGAGTGGGTTGGTTGAGCTGAATGAGGACTATGTGATGGATATGTATGAGACAAGTGTCAGGATGTCAACTTATCTTTTAGCGTTTATTGTTAGCGAGTTTGGAAACACATTTGCACCAGGTGAACACAATCATTTTAGTCCATTTTACACAAGTATTTTACACAAGCATTTTACACAAGTATTTTACACAAGTATTTTACACAAGTATTTTACAGAAGTATTTTACACAAGTATTTTACACAAGTATTTTACACAAGTATTTTACTCGAATTTGGATTATCTTTTCAAACCAATGTCACAGACATTTGATATTTCAAACTATAAGTCTGTTAGATCAAATAATCTAAGCTTGAAATATAAAACTTTGACACCATATCAAGTTGGCAAAGATATAGGGATTAGAAAATCCGAGTTTGTGGCAAATACTCAATTATTTTTTATGCTTTCACTAGGATAAGATGTTACTTAGTTAAGGTTTATTTTTTACCTAGCAAACACGATTTTCTTGTAAAGGAACTGAATAATCGAATCAAACCCTAATTTCCCAATCCCTATTTCTACATTTAATGATTGTAAAATTTTTTTTTGATAATTCTAGCAGAGCTTTAGAAACCAAAGATCGTCAACGTACACAAAGTTGAAAATAAATAATAATTTAAAATAATCTCTGCTTGATTTTAATTAACTACACATCCAGCCACTTTGTGTTGTTTTACTGCACAGGGACAATATGATTTTTATTTTGAATTTTTAAATTTGACTTTGTTGGATTAGTAGAATTTGAACAAGTAAAAATCTCAGCAAAAAAGATCACCCCATAAAATAACACAATACAGTTGCATAGTTAAAAAATAAAAAAATCAATTATTCATAAAAGATGATTAACAAGTAGTTTTTTTAATATATTCTAATAATTATGCAATAACACAACTAAAGGAATTGAGTTTTGTTACAAATCTTAATTTTTGAATTCTTATATCTTTGCAGCTTAAAGGTGTAAACCTTTGATTTTTCAAACTTAGATTATTTAATCTGACAGAAATTATTGTTTTAAATATCAAAGGTCTACAACATCAAGCTGCAAAGATAAAGGGATTAGAAAATATGAGTTTGTGACTAAGACTCAATTCCTTTAGCGTGCTGAGCAAAGTCATGACTCATGAGTAATAATATTAAATAATAATTTTTAAATATTGCAGGACATGAAAACTTTAAAATTTGGGCTCAGGAGGAGAAAATTCCTGAATTAGAATATGCGGCAGATATTGGACCTAAAGTAATAATTTTATGTTTCTATTGTATTTCTATTATAATATTTTTATATTTCTATTCTAGTATTTCTATACTTATATCCTAATATTTCTACATTTATATTCTAATATTTTTATATTCATATTCTAATATTTATATTTTTATAATCTAATACTTCTTTATTTATATAATATTATTTTTATATTTATATTCAAATATTTCAATATTTCTATTCTAATATGTCTATATTTCTATATTTCTGTTCTAATATTTTTATTTGAAAACCAAAAACCTTTAAAAACGGATTAAACAGGATATAAAAAATATAAAAAAGTAGTTTTGTTTTAGAAACAAAGTGTATCATAGAGACAGTTTTTAAAATATCTAATTTTGTTTCTATCTGTCTCCAGATTGTTGAGTTCTATGAGGAGTTGTTTGATTACAAGTTCCCCCTGGAGAAGATGGATATGGCGGCTATTCCTGACTTCCAGGTAATTCAAGGTTCTTCACACACACAGTTAGCGCCCCTTCCCTAAAAATGCAAAATCTATGATTTCAAGGGATTTCCTTAAAATAATTTACTATAACTAGCTTGGGAACCCAGCGTTGCCCAGGGGACTCATAGTTACTCCCACCATTTACCCGCGCTTGGTCTCAAATTACGATTTTAGCTATTTTCCGAATAAAAGTCTACTGAACTCACTCAATTTAAAATCTAAAATCTAAAAACCAAACTAAGAACATTCCAGGGGTTCTCCCGAGTTCCCCAGTTTAAATCAGCCAAGGGGTTCATGAGTAATGACACATGATCGGACATCCAAACAAACTAACAGAGATTACTACTTTATATATATATATATATAGATTTTACAGATATATTAACCCGGATACTTGTATTTAGTCTGGAGCTATGGAGAACTGGGGACTGATAACCTACAGAGATACTGCTATACTATACAATCAAGAAGATTTCTCACAAAGCAGCAGGTTTATAGATCTATTAAACAATTCATTTCTTACAGGGAGAACCAGAACACTCTGGAATAGGAAGACGACTTTTAGACTGCAGATATGACTTTAAATAGCGAAATGAATAAAAATAATAATCAATTAATAATAATTTACTAAGTTAGTTGTAAAACTATTTGCTTTGTAACAACATCAAATTTACAAAAGGCCCGTAGCCAGGATTTTCCCGAGGGGAGTGCAAAGAGGAGTGGTTTAGTATGGGCCCGGGATCACCGAGAGAAACGTAGTACACGAGGCATAGAAAATCTTTCTAGTTTTGATATGAAAACTAATAATTTTAGCTTGAACTTAATGTTTAACAGTGTAAATTCGATTTTCCCCGAATTTAATGATTTTATGGAAGACTATATATTTTTCATAATTTAGTTTTTAGCTTAAATTCTACAATATTGGATGAGAGAAAATACTGTTAATTTTGATATTAATTATTAGTACTCACCTCACGGTTACAAATTTTGAATTGTGAGGACAAAATATTGAAACTGAGGCAAAAAGTTTCTGCACAATTTAAGGAATTGAATTTTTGATATATAATGGAACATATTGTTTATATACTTGATACATAATAGAACATATTGTTTATATACTTGATATATAATGGAACATATTGTTTATATATTTGATATATAATGGAACATATTGTTTATATACTTGATATATAATGGAACATATTGTTTATATACTTGATATGTAATGGAACATATTGTTTATATATTTGATATATAATGGAACATATTGTTTATATACTTGATACATAATGGAACATATTGTTTATATATTTGATATATAATGGAACATATTGTTTATATACTTGTTACATTTTACATAGTGTCCCAATAAACATGGGAATTCAGAGACGAATTCGATATTAAAGGTTGATTCTGGCCTAACCTATAGTATATCAATATTAGTGAACAGTTGTAAGTGTACAGTACAGCAAACTGAGCACACAGGTAGAGAACTATCATCCCGTCTGTTTCAAACCTTATGTACAATCTCAGAATATAATTTTCAAGAGAAGATTATACCAAGCATCTTATTTAACAGAGGCGTAACTAGGACTTTTGCTAGGGGGGGGGGCAATATATTATTTTGTTAGGGTTTGGGGGGGGTTAAGGGGGGGGGTTTCCCCCCTTTTTCGAAAATTTTTCAAAAACAAAAGTGCTTTTTTAAGGGTTTGAAGTTAATCATCTACATTGAAAAAGGACAGATAATGTTACTTTTTCTCTTGAAGTTATTGAATTAATGATTGATCTAACCAACATTCATAATCTAAATTCATTTTCGATTTTAAAGAACTTCTGTCAAAGAAGATAAATCTTGTTAGTTATCAAATATGATAATCAGTTAGAAATTTGCCAGGTTCAGAATTTTCTCTAGATTTGGAACTGGTTTTTTGCTACAAACTCAAATATTCTAATCCCTAAATCTTTGCACCGAGTGGTGTAAACATTTGATATTTCAAACTTGGAATATTTTACCATAAGAATTCAAATTTTGATATCTACGAGCACTCTATAAACTCAACACAAATAAAATACAGTTCAGAACTTTTTCTTACATTTAATGTTTACAATGGCCTTGAGCCTTGAGAATTGAGAAAGATAAACATATTCTTTTTAAAACTAACTATAGTATAATAAAATTTCTACAATAACTCTATTGGTTTTCTTATTCCTGTGATACTGATTTTCGCCATTCTTTCTTTCTTTTCATTCTGCAGGGGGGGGGGCCCCCCCCCTCTCAGGTGCTAGGGGGAGGGCGCGCGCCCGGCCGCCCCCCCCCTTGTTGCGCCTCTGTTATTTAAAAGGGGGGGGTGCACCCCCATTTAAGGAGAAAGGGAGGTGCACCTGATCCCTTGCACCCCCCCCCTAGCTACGGGCCTGAATTTACATAAATAGTGCATGCTATATGTAATTCCGTCTTCCTATTCCACAGTTTTCTGGTTATCACTGAAGAAATCAAATTTTTTTAGTATTTTTTTTTGCTTCGATTTGGTTTTCATATAAAACTATTTTTTCATTTTTTTATCCCTATATCTTTGCAACAAATGTTGTAGACCTTACCTATGAATTCTATTAGATCAAATAATCAAAGTTTGAAATATCTTAAGTTTACACCACTAGGTTGTAAAGGTATAGGGATTAGAAAATTTGAATTTGAAAACTAAGAATATCAAAATAAGGAAAATTTGTATTTATTTTGTCTAGATTACGTGTGGTAACTGTTTATGTTTAGATTATGTGTGGTAACTGTTATGTTTAGATTATGTGTGGTAACTGTTTTGTTTAGATTACGTGTGGTAACTGTTTTTTTTAGATTACGAGTGGTAACTGTTTATGTTTAGATTACGGGTGGTAACTGTAGTGGCCCACGAGCTGGCTCACCAATGGTTCGGAAACCTTGTCACCATGAAATGGTGGAATGATCTCTGGTTAAACGAAGGGTTTGCCTCCTATATAGAATACCTGGGAGCTGATCATGTTGCCCCAGAAATGAAACTATTGTAAGTATTTGAAATAATTTTAATTTAAAAAATGTATTTTTATTAAGTCATGTAAAGTATTGATGTGGTTTTACAGTCGAAAAGATTGTTTGCCTTTCGTCTCAAAATGTTGCTAGTTCTTTCATAAAAAACTATTTTCTTTTACAAATTTTGTTCTGGCTTTTTAGATTCTAATTTCAATAAATCGAAAACAACTTTTTTCAATGTACTTTGTACAGTCTTATATGAGATTGTAGGATTCCCACTGATTTGACAGTTGAGAGACGATCGTCTTCGATCTTTGATAACTTCGATCTTTGATAGCTTCGATCTTTGATAGCTTCGATCTTTGATAGCTATCTAAAAATGTTATTAAAAAAATGGTTGAACAACTTCTAAGATATTTTCACTTATTGATTAACTTATTTAATACTAAGAACTTGATTCTTTAAAACCCAATGTCGTAGACCTTAAATGATTCAAACTTTCAATTCTGTTCGATCAATTAATCTAAATTTGAAATATCAAAGGTTTACAACATCAGGTTGCAAAGATATATGGATGAAAAATTTGAGTTTTTTGGAAATACTCATTTCCTTTCAGTTAGATGAACAAAGCAAAGATAATAGTTTATCTCTGAGTATAAATGTTTATTATTCGTGAAATAAAAACTCTGATAATTAGAATTTAAGATATTATATTTTTGATTTGTAAATATATATATATTTGTAAATATAAATAAAAAATCTAATAATATTATTGTTCAGAGACCAGATTCTAAACTTTGATGTTCATGATGTATTCTACCTGGACTCCCTCCCCTCATCCCACTCCATCTCCGTCAACATTGAGAACCCCATCTTTCAGGAGAACTTCGACAGAATCTCATACGGCAAGGTCCGAAAATAATGTTTTTGAAGAGTCTGTAAGCGTAATTGCAAGTGACCCTCCACACAAGGATGCAATGTCGGATTCACAACGGTACCCTTGAAACCCGGGGCGGATGCAAGGATTCTGTAGGGGGGGTTCTCCGTCATAGTACATCTTGTGTAAAGAAGTATTCTCTTTAGAAGGCTAAAACTTCTCTCCTTGTATTAACAGTGAATTCAGACAAATCCTTAGTCTTTGTCATTGTCAGGTGTTACTTTTTAAACGTAGTTTCCTTTTAATTTTGTATTTTCCAGGGGGGGGGGGCAGTGCCCCGTCTGGAACTCCCAGGGGGGGCAACAGGACTACTGCCCCCTAGGTACGCCACTTGGCGTGGCCTGAGGAAGGGAAATGCAAGCAGATGTAATATTAAAAGAGCCTCCCTCATGGGTGCCCCCTCTCAGCCTCTCAGGGGGGGGCAAGCGTAGAGGGGGGCGCGGCCCCCCCCTCGTACGCCCCTGGATGGGAGTGCATGAGTGCAAGGCTAGATAGCCTTTCTGTTTTCATGGTGTTCCGTAGCCATGTTAGCAACCTAATTATCAATATACATAAGTTCCGTTCATATTTTTTGTTTAAATTTTAAACAGTTTTCAAAGCTTATAACTGTTTAGGCATCTACAAAATGCCGCAAAAACTTTTACTATCATGAAAATAGAAGTCTTTACACTTGAGTGCTGACTAAGCAATAGGGAATGTATTTTTTTTTTGAAGTGAAGGGGTCAAGGCAACTGTAACTTGAAGAGGCAGCAAGTGGAGTAACCCCTGCTATTCAGGGCCTGAATATATATGTTCAGGGGTAATTACCTCCAAGATTCTAGGGGGTTTGGGGTAATTACCCCTAGGGTTCTAGGGGGGGGGGTATTTACCCCCAGGATTCTAGGGGGGGTATTTACCCCCAGGATTCTAGGGGGGGTAAATAACCCCAATAACCCCCCTTATATCCGCCACTGCTTGAAACCTTTATCTAATTAATAATGTCAAACTGAAAGTCATTTTTTCAGATTCAAAAGTGTTTATTTCTGATAACTCTTATGTGTTTTCCTGCAGCAGAAATGCACAAGACACTTTTGTAGAGAAACTTTGTGGTTAAACATCTATTTTTTAAATTACAGACATTGATATTTTATTCATACTTGATCTAAATCATACTTGATTAGACAACTTTTTAACGGGTACTGTTGGGAATCAGACATTGCCATCTTTGCATGGGGGTCACTTGCAACTACGCTTACAGCCCCTTTAAACAGGAAAAACAAAGAATGAAATTGACATTTTTAGAAATTAAACGTTTTAAATTGTGATTTTTAAATTTCAGGGCTCCGTGTTGATCCGAATGATGGAAAACTTCTTGACAAAGAAAACATTTAGACAGGGTCTTGCAAACTATTTTAAGGTAATATCAAAACTTTGTGAAGGTTTTATATTCTAAATTTTAAATTCTTAAGGTGATGTATAAAACTTTGAATTAATGTAAAATTTTTAAATTCTATTAAGGTGATATAAAAACTTAAAATTACTTATTTGTAAAGTTTTAAACTTCTAAATGATAAATTCCAAGGTATAACAAAATCTTTAAATTATTTGTGAAGTTTCAAAGAAAGAATACCTATTGTTAGAAAGGCGACAAAATCTTACTCATTGTTATTAAGATTAAGAATTTTATTTCAAACGTTGTAAAAATCAGGCAATTAACTTTAAGGTTACTTGTAATTCCGCCGAAACAGGTCTTCTAAATATTTTCTATTTGTCCCAGGCGCATGCGTACTCAAACGCCGAGCAGGATGATCTCTGGGCCTCCCTGGAGGATCAGGCCCAGGAGGACGGGGTTCTCAACCAGAACATGACCGTCAAGCAGATAATGGACACCTGGACACTGCAGAAAGGATATCCGGTTCTTAATGTAGACTTCCGGGACGGAAACTGGGAGATATCTCAGGAAAAGTTTAACCTTAATGTTGAGGAGAAGGAGAAGAGTGAAGAACTCTGGAAGATTCCAATCTCCTACAGAAGTCTCTCAGAAAATCTCTCAGACACAACAGGTTTATTTTAAATATATATATTTGATGTAAGTTTTTAAAGGGACTGTACGTGTAATTTCAAGTGTCTTTTCAATTATAATGTTAAATACACAACGGTTTCATTTTAAGCTTTGTCTGATCAAGATTGAAGGAGATATGTTTTATACTATAAAAGTGACTTGGGAATAACTGCTTAAGAAAAAATGGAGAAAATCGTCAGATTGCTATCAAAGCTAGAAAAATGACGATATATCCCACATTATTGATCAAATAAAGGTTTCAAGGGTATCGTTCAAATCGGGCATGCCCTTATCTAAATAAAGAAAAGATTTTAGAAATTGATGTACTTTTCAACGACTTATGTTGATTTGTTTCAGTAAACTTTTGGTTGAGTGAGGCTGCTGCTACTATTCCTGCTAATTCAACTGATTATAATGAAACCTATATCTTTAACATTGGTAAGAACCTAATCTTTAAAGTTTTCAACTATAACCCCTCTTATTATCGAGCTATTAAGAAGAACCAAAATGTTTTGAATTTCTAATATTTAACCGGATATGGTTCCTACAGCTGATTTTTAATATGTAACCGGATATGGTTCCCTACAGCTGATTTCTAATATGTAACCGGATATGATTCCTAAAGCTGATTTCTAATATGTAACCGGATTTGGTTCCTACAGCTGATTTCTAATATGTAACCGGATATGGTTCCTACAGCTGATTTCTAATATGTAACCGGATATGGTTCCTACAGCTGATTTCTAATATGTAACCGGATATGGTTCCTACAGCTGATTTCTAATATGTAACCGAATATGGTTCCCTACAGCTGATTTCTAATATGTAACCGAATATGGTTCCCTACAGCTGATTTCTAATATGTTACCGGATATGGTTGCTAAAGCTTATTTTTTTGCCCAACAATATCGTCGATAAAGTCTCTTGGTTTGAGCCAAGCCTGTAGTTTATGAAGTTTCATCATTTGATTACTAAATAGTTAATATAGAAGTAATACCAAATTGAAGAATATGTTTTAAATAATATTCTTTTGATATACAGTGAATCTCATAAAACTGTGGAATAGAAAAGCGTCGTTTAAGCAGTTATATGTAAAGCAAAAGATGTTACTTTTAGCTCGAAACCCCATTTTTATTGGACTATTCAAATCCTAACTTGAGTCTAAAATAAGGAAGTTCTCCTATTTCACAGTTTTATGGGTTTCCACTGGTATCAAGTATGAAATCTTTATAACTACAGATATAAAAAGCATGTTTTTTAATGTGAATTTGAATTTAACTCACTGAGTTTGATTCTGATTTTGTTTATTTCAGGTCAAATGGGTTACTACAGGGTGAACTATTCTCCTGAAAACTGGAATAGATTAATCAAATCCTATACTGATCTTCCGAACTTAAGCCGAGCTCAGCTAGTAGATGATGCTCTAAACCTGGCCAGAGCCGGTCAACTTACATACTCCATAGCTCTAGAACTTGTTTCAAACATCAGGTTCAAGCGTTAGTTTAATTAAAATAATTTCTGTGGACGAAATCTATAAAGTAGCGAGACGTAGATTTTTATCTAAAACTTCCTAGATTTTAAAATAAGTCCTGTCATATGATTATCAAAAACGTGCTATTTTAGTATAAAAACGCGCTTTTTCAATACAAAACGTGATTTTTCATTACAAAAACGTGCTTTTTTCATTAAAAAAGGTGCATGTTTTCTAACAGAACGAGTTTTCTAACAAAATGTGCTTGTTTTCTAACAAAACGTGCTTGTTTTCTAACAATAACGTGCTAATTTTCTAATAAAAACGTTCTAGTTGTCTAACAAAGATTGGCCATTTACAGGACGCATAATTACTTCTATAAAAACCAGAGTGAAAATATCAACCCGTAATGTACAGGGTGTCCTAATAAAAATGGGAATTAAGTGACAAATACAACGTCGTCTTTGTTTAAGAATTAGCGTTGTATATTACCTAATTTCCCTACGAGACTAGATAAAAAATCATCCATGATGAAAATATCTAAATCCTCACTCAAATTCCATGTTTACTGGGACACCCTGTAACTCTATGGTTCGTCCTAGATCTTTCGTATAAATATGTTTAATTAAAGATCTGAGATGGATTATGTGACCCTGGGCTCCGCTAAGAATAGTTTACAGTTCCTAATGAATATGCTGGCCAAGGATGAGAGGTTCCCCGGGTTCCAGGAGTATGTCAGAGCTCTGCTCCAGGACGTTTATCAGCAGGTCAGTTTTAGAATTCACAATTGGAACCTTGAGGTTCCCCGGGTTCCAGGAGTATGTGAGAGCTCTGCTCCAGGACGTTTATCAGCAGGTCAGTTTTAGAATTTACACTTGGAACCTTGAGGTTCCCAGGGTTCCAGGAGTATGTCAGAGCTCTGCTCCAGGACGTATATCAGCAGGTCAGTTTTAGAATTCACACCCGGAACTTTGAGGTTCCCAGGGTTCCAGGAGTATGTCAGAGTTCTGCTCTAGGACGTCTATCAGCAGGTCAGTTTTAGAATTCAAACCTAGAACCTTGAGGTTCCAGGAGTATGTCAGAGCTCTTCTCTAGGACGTTTATCAGCAGGACAGTTTCAGAATTCACACCTGGAACCTCGTGGTTCCAGGAGTATGTGAGAGCTCTGCTCCAGGACGTATATCAGCAGGTCAGTTTTAGAATTCACACCAGGAACCTTGAGGTTCCAGGAGTATGTCAGAGCTTTTCTCCAGGACGTATATCAGGTTGAGGTTCCAGGAGTATGTGAGAACTCTGCTCCAGGACGTATATCAGCAGGTCAGTTTTAGAATTCACACCTGGAACCTTGAGGTTCCAGGAGTATGTCAGAGCTTTTCTCCAGGACGTATATCAGCAGGTCAGTTTCAGAATTCACACACGGAACCTTGAGGTTCTAGGAGTATGTGAGAACTCTGCTCCAGGACGTATATCTGCAGGTCAGTTTTAGAATTCACACCTGGAACCTTGAGGTTCCCAGGGTTCCAGGAGTATGTCAGAGCTCTTCTCCAGGACGTATATCAGCAGGTCAGTTTTAGAATTCACACCAGGAACCTTGAGGTTCCCCGGGTTCCAGGAGTATGTCAGAGTTCTGCTCTAGAACGTATATCAGCAGGTCAGTTTTAGAATTTACAACCAGTTTATATATTCTTAGATATAATTCGAAACATTGAATTGCGTAAAAGATTAAATGTTTTGTTTTATTACGACTGAAAGACAAGCTAACATATAATCTTCTGTATTCTAATTTAAAAAACCTCCAAATGCATGATTAAATATTTTTTCTCCATATCTTCCATATATGTTTGAGAACTAATTAGTTGGCAATCTATATATAAATTTGGCTTGTCTGTCTGTTTGTTTGTATCCAATAAACGTCAAAACGGCTGAACCGATCGGGCCCAAATTTTTTGTGGGACATCTAGGGACTCCAGGGAAGGTTTATGAATCATCAAAATTTCAAATATTTGTCTCCATCAAAATTCGATCGTCATTAAATTTTTTTAAATTTTGAAAATCCGCGAAATTTTTTGTGAAAATCCGCGAATTATTTTTGTTTTGTTTTACGATGTACACAAAGAGAACATGTTCACAATTAATTTAGGAGATGGGCGCGAAGCGCCCTCTAAGGCTAGAAAGAAGGGCGCGAAGCGCCTTGAATTTCTAGTTTTATTAAATTGCTTGAAATAATTCTCAAAACCAAAACAGGTTATTCTTAAATGGTCGGAAATGGTAAGTTCCAGAAAAAAACTAACCCTGTGCCATCACCCCCCCCCCCTTTCCTTCCATTAAGTTCAAAGGCCAAAGTTTGATGATTCGGCCAATCTAAAGACAGGATTTCATTAGTAATTTTTTAAAAAAATTATAATTATCTTAACTAATAGTTCTCGACTCTGATTACTAATATATCTCTAGGTGAGCGGAAGTAACTCTAATGAGTATATGGATGTAGTTACACGAAGCCTGGTGTTGGATTGGGCCTGCTCCCTCGGTATCCAGGACTGCATTGATACTGCCTTAGTACGTACTACAATAATAATAATAATTATGTACAGCTTGAACCCTGATGAGAAAGGCGAGGTGTGGTATACTTTAGTACTACAATAATAATAATGATTATGTACAGCGTGAACCCTGATGAGAAAGGCGGGGTGTACTACGTACTACAATAATAATAATGATTATGTACAGCGTGAACCCTGATGAGAAAGGCGGAGTGTACTATGTACTACAATGATAATAATGATTATGTACAGCGTGAACCCTGATGAGAAAGGCGAGGTGTGGTATACTATAGTACTACAATAATAATAATGATTATGTACTGCATGAACCCTGATGAGAAAGGCGAGGTGTACAGTGTACTACGTACTACAAAAATAATAATGATTGTGTACAGCGTGAACCCTGATGAGAAAGGCGGGGTGTACTACGTACTACAATAATAATAATGATTATGTACAGCATAAACCCTGATGAGAAAGGTGGGGTGTATTGTACTACAATAATAATAATGATTATGTAAGTAAAGCGTGAACCCTGATGAGAAAGGCGGGATGCACTGTACTACAATATGAATAATGATTATGTACAAAGTTAATCCGTACTTTACTGCAAAATTAATAGTGATTATGCACATAGTGAACCCTGATGAGAAAGGCGAGGTGTACTGTACTAAAATATTAATAATGATTATGTACAGTGTGAACTCTGATGAGAAAGGCTGGGTGCACTGTACTACAATATTTATAATGATTATGTACAGTGTGAACCCTGATGAGAAAGGCTGGGTGTACTGTACTGGTATTAAATACGGAAATGAGGAAGACTGGGATTTAGCTTGGGACAGATTACAGGTTAGTTTTTTAGTTTTAATTCTCATACTTTTCTGCAAATTTTCACCGCTTGAAATAGTTTTTTTTTATAAGCCTTCATTGGTCTTATTTATAAGTTTCTTAAGTGAAATCCGTATTCACTCCCCTTTAAAAAAGAGAACTTCTATACATTACGCATACATTCCCTTTAAATTATAATAATTGAAGTGAAAGACAATGTTAAAGCAAATATTGAATATGAAATATATAAATCAGGAAAATGAAATATATTCAGATTTTATTTAATCTTTGTGGTTCAATTTACTTTAGTTAAACTTCTTTTTCTTTATTTGATTTATTCGATACAAAGGTAAATTTGGGATGTGAAAACGTTTGAGGTAGGGCTGGGCATGATGAGTAATGTTTGAGGTAGGGCTGTTTACGATGAGTAATGTTTGAGGTGTATGTCTGGTCACGTGTATGTCAAGTAACGTTTAAAGAGAATCCACAATTTAAAAATGCTCGATTTTTAAAGTTAAATATCTAGATATCACATTCATTCTTGATCACATGGAAAGCTTTTAAGGGTACCGTTGTGAATGGAACATGTCACTCAATAAATTTGGAATCCCTTGAAATGACATCACGGTCCCTTTAATATCAAAAAGTAGATGGGTGAAGTATAAAAACAAAATATATTCAGAAGACAAACGTCCTGTTGGAGAAGTCGACCTTGATGACTGCTCTAGGGTGTACCAAGGATACAGCTCTGATTGATAAATATCTTGAGAGATCTATAGATCCTAACTCTACAATCAGGTAGGAACATTGATCTAGGGTGTACCAAGGATACAGCTCTGATAGATAAATATCTTGAGAGATCTATCGATCCTATCTCTACAATCAGGTAGAAAAACTGCTCTAGGGTTTACCAAGGATACAGCTCTGATAGATAAATATCTTGAGAGATCTATCTATCCTAATTCTACAATCAGGGAAAAACACTGCTCAAGGGTGTACCAAGGATACAGCTCTGATTGATAAATGTCATGAGAAATCTATCTAGCCTAATTCTACAATCCGGCAGGCAGGATGTTTTTTTATTTATACTATAACATTTATTATGTGTTTTCAGGACCCAGGATAAGAGATACGTTTACCTGGCAATAGGAGACAGCAGCGAGGCAGATGGGTCAGCTCGTATGCTCACCTGGCTCGAGGACAACTGGGAAAAGATTAAGGTAAAATACTATAAAGAGACTATAATGGTCCTCCCGTTGATTTCAGCGTAATTTAGAATTGTCCTCCCGTTAATTTTAGCGTAATTTCTAATGGTCCTTTCGTTAATTTAAGCGTAATTCATAATGGTCCTCCCATTAAGTTAAGCGTAATTTATAATGGTCCTCCCGTTAATTTAAGCGTAATTTATAATGGTCCTCCCGTTAATTTAAGCGTAATTTATAATGGTCCTCCCGTTTATTTTAGTGTAGTTATAATGGTCCTCCCGTTTATTTTTGCGTAGTTTATAATGGCCCTCCCGTTAATTTTGGCCTAATTCATAATGGTCCTCTCGTTAATTTAAGAGTAATTTATAATGGTCCTCCCGTTTATTTTAGTGTAATTTATAATGGTCTTCTCGTTAATTTTAGCGTAATATAATGGTCCTCCCGTTAGTTTTAGCGTAATATAATGGTCCTCCCGTTAATTTTGGCGTAATATAATGGTCCTCCCGTTAGTTTTAGCGTAATATAATGGTCCTCCCGTTAATTTTGGCGTAATATAATGGTCCTCCCGCGTAATATAATGGTCCTCCCGTTAGTTTTAGCTTAATCTAAAGTGAGTCTCAATGCTGAGATGTCGACAATGCCCTTAAAAGATGTGTCTGAAAAAAGATATCAACGGTTATAATTTTGAAACCTGATTATTTTCAATTGCAGTTCTCTAAACAAGTGACTTGCGCATTTCTTATGCAGGAAACCATGTAGGAATGATTAGATTTTAAAATGTTTAAACCGATAGAATAACGACAATATACATTCCAATCATTTGAAATTTCGATTTTACTTTATAGTCTCTTGAAAGAGTTCTAATGTTTCATTCAGAGTTCAAGAACTGTCATAAATATGTTTTTTTAGGAGTTTTACGGGGATACTTTCGTGTACAATGTGAAGAACATGGTTCTCAGGTATCCGGAGTACTCCAATACACAAGAGAGCTTTGATAAACTTCGTTTGTTCCTCTCCACCCATAGAGGAGAACTGGGGAGCTCAGCTGAATCCGTGGATCAGAGCTTAGATAAAATATCCGCAAACATTCGTTGGAGAGAACTCTTCTATGAAGATATTTTCACGTGGGTGGAGGGGCAGTAAGGGAACATGGCTGCTTGAAAATAAAAGACAGAAAAATATAAAAAGAGCAAAAACTGAATACTCGCCACAAATTAAATTTTTGTTTTCCTCGTATAGCATTGCTGCAACACCTCTGATATTTCAAACTACAGTGAAACCCTTAGTAACAAATACATCGAAAGAATTCATCAAATGTCGTACTCTTCACTCTCTAATAATGGAATGTTGCAGATATTTAGTTTTTTAATTAAATGATTATATGGAACTCTTTAAAACTGTTCCCGCATATTTATGGCTATTAATTTATTTTCGCAAATACTGAAATTTACGTAATATAGTATAAAACTCATTATTGTCAAGACGACATTTGATAAATTCTTCCGATGTATTCGTTTTTAAGGGTTTCACTGTATGAAAAATAAATAGTTAATTTAACATCAAAAGTTTACATCGTCAGGTTACGCAGATTGATGGAATTGAAAATTAGATTTTGTGGCTAGTGCTTACTGTTCAGTTTCTGTAGTTTTTTATTGACATGATTGCTTGAATGCTGTGTATGTAATCTAATGTAATACAACATTGATATTAATGAAATATACAAAGAAAACTTATTTTGTACTTAAAGATTTTAAAACAAATCGACAAAGATGTCGATAATATTTTTCCCGGATGGAAAAAATAGTGGTTGGAAATTTCCATTTTCTTTGACAAAAATCTGCATTTTGGAAACCTCTGAAATCCTTTCCTTTTTTGTTTTACTTTTATGATTATATGATTTATGAAAAAAGTTTTAATCTATATGATATAATCAAACAAAGCTTTCAATTTTTAGATTCAGATTTGACAAACTTTTAAAATATATTTTTGGCACATTTTCATCTCACATAGCCATGTGCAATCCAATATGAAGGGAATCAATTTTCCTAGGAAGCTCCCCTTTATCAAGGTACTAATGCAAGGAAAGTTAATTGCGGTCTCGTACAGGGTGTCCCAAAAAACATGGGAATTCAGTGACGAATTGGATAATCGTCTTTGTTATGAATTAGCATTGTAATACCTACTTTCAAAAGCCATAATATTATTATGTCTGCTAGAGTTTATTTTATGAAAAGGGTAAAAGACTATAAAGTGTGTCTATAATGTCTCCGCAAGACGGCAGTGAAGACGGACAAGTTTACTCTGTTTGTATACTGCAATTTTCTTATTTTACTAAGTACACCCTTATGTAGTCAAAACATAAACAAACAAAATGTGAACCTAGCAGACGAAACTCTTACAGATTACAGCTTTCTCAGTAGGTATCACTAAACTAAATCAAAGAATTATTTAAAAAGACGATATCGAATTCGTCACTGAATTCCTATGTATATTGGGACACCCTGTATACTCTGCGTACATATTGAAACCAGTTCTCTCTGGACGGAATTTGTAAACAAGAATAGATAGATCAGTGTTCTTCTAGTACCCGAGGAGAATAAAAGCATTTAATTTTGATAATTTTGAAAATTCACATAATAGTTTCCTTTGACCAGAATATTTCATGGATTAATTTTGTGAAAATGGATTCAATGTTAGGCTGTGACATCCGTCTTGTGTTTACTTTTCCGCCCAAAGCCGAAAGACAGTACACGGCAGTACAAAAAATGTGTACACCTCTGAAATAACCTTCCTTCCATTAGTACCTTGCCCTTTTTATTGGATTCAGGATCCCTCTCACAGTCTAAAAGTTGTATGATCCGTGCCAATACAACACCTACTGTAAATGCATTCAGTCGTACCGTCCAGTCAGTGTAGACTGCAGAGTCGACCCAGCCCGTTATATGCAAAAGATGACAATGGGTCCTGTACAACGAAATTACCGACTGAGCCTCTTTATAATGTATTTTCTTCTTATAAATGAGAATCTAAATATTGAGTCTAGAATTATTGATCCTGGAAGATCAAAACATGATCTTCTCCTTAGCTTTTCAATAAGAGGAGTTATGACTGAAAATATATAAGATTTTAATTTAACGTGACTGTTTTAACCTTTTTCACTTTTTTTCATGAATAAAAATGTCGCGTATATACAGGGTGTCGCGTATATACAGGGTGTCGCGTATATATTTAAAAGACGATTTAAAAGCTCATGCTTGTTGGAAGGAACGCGCTGTAAAATAAATATTTTAAAATTAAATAATATAAATTATAAATTTGATAAAATTGTCAGTATTTAGCTCTGCCATACAATTTTTCTTTTCATTAAAGTTTTCTTTTAGTCGGAATATTTCTCAAAGTTCTGCAGCAAATTGTAAAAAGAATTCACAATTCCTGTGAAAACCAATTAAAAGTTGGAAACCTGCCCCAGGGTACATATACACACTTTGCTGAGAGTATTTTCATAAAAGCATCTTACAAAATTTAACAAAAATTGAATTCAAACTTCAAGAAAAAACCGACTCAAACTTTTTATGTAATTTGAAAACAATTCCGCGGTATTTTTTGTAGAGATTGAGGCGGAATTTAAGAGATTAATCATCATCATCATCACCACCATGCCGGTCAACCCGTCCTCGGACATAAAGAGATTAATCATCAACATCATCACCACCATGTCGGTCAACCCGTCCTCGGACATAAAGAGATTAATCATCAACATCATCACCACCATGTCGGTCAACCCGTCCTCGGACATAAAGAGTTTAATCATCAACATCATCACCACCATGCCGGTCAACCCGTCCTCGGACATAAAGAGTTTAATTTATAGGGATGCTGTTTACCTGTTTGAAAATATACATAGAACCCCCAATATTCAAATCATCTTATGCTCTCAAAGATATCCCCTGGGCAAGAATGTTCGAAACGGTGAACGGTTTAATCTAGCTGTCAAATACTTCAAAAAGTGGAATATTTTGTTAATTTAATTAGAAGACCTTTTTCCTTTAATGGTAAAAGTGTGGGCTGCAATAATATAAAGTCTAGATCATGTAAATATAAAGTCTAGATCATGTAAATATCAAGTTTTCAAAATCTTTATTTTTCAACTTTTTAATAAATATTTTTTTATGAATACGTAATTGAGAAACTGGTTTAATAGGTTAAGCTTCCAAGTTTTCCGTGTAGGTTGGATAGCTTGAGCTACTAGGTTCTACATTCAGGTTGGATAGCTTGGGCTCCAAGGTTCTCCAGAAGGTTGAATAGCATAAACTTCCAGGTTCTCCATGAAGGTTGGATAGTTTGAACTTCCAGGAACTCCATGAAGGTTGGATAGCTTGATATTTAGTTCTCTTGGGGGGTTTCTGTGCTAGGTTCAGGAGTACTACTGCTCTCCTCAGTAATAGTCTCCTCGTCCTTCTGAAAGTAGTTGAGTTTAGATATTTAGAAAAATCTAAAATGGCAAATTCTTTTCAAGATTTAATACCATTTAAAAGGGTCTGTCGTAAGAATGTAATTGTAAAGTGATCCTATACTTAAAAAAGGACATGTCGGATTCACAACGGAAATCTTCAAACATTTATCGGAGAAATGATGTAAAAGATATTTTCATATTTCATCTAAATCAGTGTATCTAAATTACGTCTATAGTCTAACCTATAAAATACTCTAAGAAGAAAAATGTAGTTAAGGCAGTACGTCCGAATTCTCAAAATAAGCTGGCAGTAAAGACAAGTTTCTTTACTAATATTTCTTATAAGAAACATGGAAATTTTACTAATATTTCTTATAATAAACATGGAAATTTTACTAATATTTCTTATAATAAACATGGAAATTTTACTAATATTTTTTATAATAAACATGGAAATTTTACTAATATTTTTTATAATAAACATGGAAATTTTACAAATAATTTTTATAATAGACATGGAAATTTTACTAATATTTCTTACAATAAACATGGAAATTTTACTAATATTTCTTATAATAAATATGGAAATTTTGCTAATATTTCTTATGATAAGCATGGCAATTTTACTAATATTTCTTACAATAAACATGGAAATTTTACTACAGTGAAACCCTTAATAACGAATACATCGAAAGAATTCATCAAATGTCGTATTCTTCACTTTCTGATAATGGAATGTTGCAGATATTTTGTTTTTTAATTAAATTATTATATGGAACTCTTTAAAACTGTTCCCGCATATTCATGGCTATTAATTTATTTTCGCAAATACTGAAATTTACGTAATATAGTATAAAACTCATTGAAAAATTGTCAAGACGACATTTGATAAATTCTTCCGATGTATTCGTTATTAAGGGTTTCACTGTAATATTTCTTATAATAAATATGGAAATCTTACTAATATTTCTTATAATAAACATGGAAATTTTACTAATATTTCTTATAATAAGCATGGAAGTTTTACTAATATTTCAATAATAAATATGGAAATTTTACTAATATTTCTTATAATAGACATGGAAATTTTACTAATATTTCTTTTAATAAACATGGAAATTTTACTAATATTTCTTAAAATAAATATGGAAATTTTACTAATATTTCTTATAATACACATGGAAATCTTACTAATGTTTATTATAATAAACATGGAAATTTTACTAATATTTCTTATAATAAACATGGAAATTTTACTAATATTTTTTTATTTAGTCCAGACAAATTATAATACTATAACTGCACCCAGAAAAATTATGGTGTAATATTTCTTTTTATGAAACATGACCGTGGTTTCTATAAAAAAGAGACTCGCGGATTTATGCTGCGGATGCACAAAGAATGACATAACAGAATTATTCGCATTATACGACTATAACATCCTCTCATTGTTAACTTGATACGCGTTAGAAAGGGTACCTTGGTAAATCTGACAATTAAGTTGTCACTCTATAGATGGAAGGTGACTTAAATTCTTTACAAATCAGGAATTAGAACAAAAATGTTAAATCTTCCTCTGAATTAATTTTCCGAAAAAAAACTCCGAAAGACGACATTCAAGGTTTACTACGGAAAAGTCTTCTTTTCATAAATAAGTTTTTATGTTTGTTTAGAGTAAAATCGGAAAACATTGGACACATATTTCAAGCTCTTGTTAAAGGTCAAATACAAAATATTGTACGCTACATTAGGACTATATTTATGAGTTTGGTATGAAAAATATAGTGTTTAATCGCATCCTTAAGTTATAAACAGCCCTGTCAAATACTTCCAAGGAATTTAAATTGAGAATATATAACTTAAACAAGAAAAAGTCGAAAAACAGTTTAGCATGAGAGAATATTTTTAAAAAGTGGAATTACACAAATCTAACATGAACTTAATCTCAGCTAAATTTCTATAAGGCAATTATTTTCCTTCTTTTTTAATCAAAATTAAGACAAAAATTTATTCTTTTTCTTTAAGCAACAATTTACATTTATTTACTTTTCTTATTTTTATTTGTTTAAATCCATGTTTGGATGGAAGTAAAATATTTCCTACCTTTGCCTTAGGTGGGGTCACATACTTGATTTCAGTCCCTTCTTCACAATCATATACAGGACAACAAGCTGGATAGTCAGCTTTAGGATCAGCTTTATCCTACAATATACAATATACAATATACAATATACAATATACAATATACAATATACAATATAGAGGACAACAAGCTGGATAGTCAGCTTTAGGATCAGCTTTAGGATCAGCTTTATCCTACAATATACAATATACAATATACAATATACAAAATACAATATACAATATATAATATACAATATACAATATACAGGACAACAAGCTGGATAGTCAGCTTTAGGATCAGCTTTATCCTACAATATACAATATACA